TTTTTTTTTTTTCTTCAAGTTCTCAGGATTCTTTAATCCAACGCTGGTGTGGTGTAATGGAGACTCACCGGTCCCCCGATGCTGCTGAAGTTCTGAGAATATCTTGTGCTGAAGCGCTGTGTGTGGCTGGCCTTCCTCTAACAAGCCACAATCTCATTCCTCCAACTCTCTTGATCAAGTACGGTTCGAAGATGTCCACACAGTCTTTCACAAATACGAAAACGCTGCTTTGAAGCAAATGGTAACTGTATCTCTTGCAGATTGCTGAACACAGGCCTGTACTTGCTGCAGGACCAAAGCCAACAGGTGAGGACGAAAGCCGCCCGCTTTATCTCCATGCTACATCACGCCAGAGGAGGAGGAGCGCAGAGGAGCCTCTACCTCATGCAGGTCAACCTGGCTATACCGTTGCTGTTGGAATTGTTGTTGGAAGAGTGCTGGGACATACCGAGTACACTGGAAGTGCTTCTGTGCCATGTGCCCCACTCTGACCTGAGATCTGTGCTAAGTGAAATCGCAGACAGTGGGTGGGTCACTTCGCTGATTCGGTATCAGAATACACTTGACAGAGAGGTTGCTCAGCATTATGTGTTGTCTCCCTCAGGTGCGGAAGCCTCTATGAGCAGGATGACGCTAACGTGTTTGCTGAGCCTTCAGTAATGTCTGAATATGTGTTGCCTTACCTGCTGCTTATGGCTGAAAAGTACTCTGAATCTTCAGCCATGGCACAGCGCCTCAGCACATGGGCGGAAGAGAACGCTGCTCCGCTGCTCGACAACCTCACATTGTGCAAAAGCCTCCAGCCAGGTAGCACACTTGTGTGTCAAGATACAAACAGTGTTGGGCAAGTTTCTCGCAAAATGGATTACGTTTTCATTTTTGTATCGATCATTTGAAGGTCATTTGTTATATAACCGTACTATATTGTGCTGTATTTGTGATTATTTTCATCAGCACAACTAAAAATAGGCTAGCTATTCTAAAAGATAGCATTTAACAAGACGACACTCAGCAACTCAAAACAATGCCAACATTTCAAATGCTAATCGTAATATTAGCCAGTATTACGGTAAATTAAACATCTGTAGTTTTATTTCGCCAAGTCAAAAACCACAGTATTGTTGAGTAATGTTTTTTGTAATTAACTCTGAGTTACGATGTTGTCTTTCTAGCTGAGATGCTAACACTTCTCACGGACCCCCGGTTTCACAACACCCTTTGCGGCTTGCTAACGAGAGCCACCTTCCTTCTCCACCTTTCCAAAACTTGTGACCGTCTGCAACACCTTTGTGATCCTTCAGCTCTCCAGATGACTTTAAAGGATATTTGCACTCATCTAAGTGAGCAAGGTGTGCACTTGAAATCTTCTCTAGCATCTGCAGTGGCTGGAGACCTCAGACTATCATACCACGGACTTTCGATACTAAGCAAAGATAGATGAAGCAATTTAGCATGAATTTTTGAGGCAGGCCTCAATGTTGTATGATGCTGCTGTCCACCATGTCGACATTCAGCTAATGGAATAAAAGATCACAAAAGCAGATGCGACACCATAGGAGTATGTGATACACTGTTGTTTTAGCAAAATGTAAATATAGCCTTAGCTAACCTTAGCTACAACACCCTGCTACTCTAGGGATTTTATTCCATCCATCCATTTTCCCGTAGGGTCATAGATGAGCTGGAGCCTCGCCCAGCTGACTTTTTACAGGAGGTAGAGGTAAACAATTTAGTGCCCAATGCACCTAACATGCATGTTTTTGGGATGTGTACTATTTAACGAATATACTGTATTCCAAACTTCTGAAAGTTTTTTTCTGTCAATTACTATTTCCCTATGACGGAGTGGATATATTAAACTTGACAACATTCACCTGCACGCACAATATGATCACTAAAAAAATGCTTGTTTTCATGGTTCTGAAAACAGATAGTTTCTTAAATTGAAAATTACCGATAAAGACATGGTGGAGGACAAGTTCAAGGGCACATGCAAAATGTTCAATACGATTATCCAAACAGAACATACATGATCACAATGACTCGTCCCTAGTATGTGTGCAGCTTTTTGTTGCTTTTAATAAGACCTCATGAGTTTCCTTATTTGCTACATTTTCAAGGTGACTGAGTGATTCTGATGAGGGCATTAAAAGGGACTTCATTGTGATATTGATACAATGTTACCTTAATTCCGCATTGCAATGCATTGTGTTTAGTATTTATGGAAGTCTTCAATTTGCCGGAGGGTTTTAGTAGTGTACATACCAGTATTTGCTTGCAATTTGTGAGCATCCTCAGTATCTGCAATACACCGGGAGAGGCTGACTGCTCAGTGCCAAGCTGGGAAATACTGTGTTCTTTATATGCTCCATTAGAGGCCTTGTGCCCGCATAAGTGGCCATTTCCCCAACCGCATGAGAGTGCAAGATGATGGACTGGCTCTGAATTGGCAGAGGATGGGTGCTCGCTTGTTGACAGCCCACACACTAGCAGAGTCTTACATCATCACATTGCCTCCCGCTTCTTCTTGAGGTGGGTGTGATAAATGACTCACTGACAGATACAGGCGGGTTGTTGTTGTTTTTTTTTCTTCAAATTACATGCTATTTTTTTGACAATGACGCATATAGTGATGAATCTGAATATTTTCTTTCCGGCTTTGTAAAAGTGAGTCATTCCATTTAGGAGGATTCATTATTTTTACTCCCACTACCAAAGTTTAACTCGCAAGAACAATTACAAATGATGGCTTCAACTTTGCTCCACAAGTAGGGAAGAACAAAGGAACTCAATGCAGTTCACCTGTTCCTGTTGTTTGTTTTGCAGACATGCAAAACAAATTGGCAACACGAATTCATTATTCAGCCAACAGGTTGTGTTTATGCCTACACAGTTGTGAAACTTGCAACTAGTTGAGATTCCAAAATGTCTTTGCTAAATGTGATTCTCGGACCTCTGCAACCTGCCTGCTTCCTGTTAAATTCAGAAACCGACGATGGCAACGTGGAACAATGCCAAGTAGGTGCTTGTATTGGGCTTGTGTGCACACATTGAAGCACATGTTTACCATCTGGAGTGGGAACAGAGGGAGTGTTTTTCCATTTTGTCACCAAGTTATCCTTCCTCTCAGGACTCCATATGCAATTACTGTACAATGCAAATTGTCAGGGAACTGTTGAGGTGCTATTTCTGCACGTGACCACTGTTACTTTGGGTGTCTAAAATATATAGAGTATAACAATATTTTAACTGAAGGCAGAAGCAGTGGAAGTTCTAAGACAGATCGAACACAATGTGTTTGACTACAGTGGTCCACATCTGATTTGTTCTGATATAGAAACCCAAACAAGTACACTCAAATGTGCAATGTGTAGCATCGTATATGTACTTGATTTCCGCGGGTTGTTTGTGTTGATGGTGACATAGTTTTCCACTGCACGTGCAGGGAAAGGGTCCAAAGACTCTCACCCCGCCAAACGTAGAGCAAACAGATGCTGCTGTGTTTGCACAACCCGGTGCCGAAAAATGTGCTTGGCTTCTGTGGGCTGATGAACTCTTGAGTGTGTCACGAGTTGGCTGCTCTCTTTTTGCGCACTGCCAACAATGCGCACCGACGAAGAATGGGAACATACCGGTATGCACTGGAGCTGCCAGTTCTGGGCCTCTGCGGAGTGCTCTTTCTGGCTGAGTGGAAAAACAGGGCTCGTGAGTTGCAGGGGAAGAACACGGGACACGTGCGCGCGTATTTAGGGCCAGATAGGACTGCACTGGGATTATAAATGGAAAGCCACGAGTCAATGTGGGTCAGATGGGAAGCTATGTATAGACATGAAAAGTCATCGTAGTTTTAATGTAGTAAATGTAAACACGCACGTTTGAGTGGGACTACCCGACTAACGATTGTTTGTCAGACTGCATGTTACTACGCACGTGCTCGTATGCATTTAATGGTTCTCGGTCTACGACGGAATCTGAAGCCATGCACAAATTAAAACGTATTTCATTTTTTACCATATTTTATTGGAACGTAACGCAAAAGTAAAGTCATGCCTATGGTAGATCTTTGTAGACGATAAATATAAAACAATCCGATCTGAAAACACCACATCCTTTTTTCCGCCTCTGCACATAGTTAATTCCGAGCAAATTCGTATACTCGAAATATTATATTTACAGTAAATATTGAATAAAAAACTATTCCAAGCAAAACATTATAATACGTAGAAATATAATTGGTGCAAATGACGTGAGAAAGACTTCTAGTCCATACGTATAAGACTCATCCATCCATTTTCTGATATAAAATGATAAACAGCAAGTATGGGGTAGTAAATTTGCGTGCTTCATGTTATCATGTGTAGTTCACTGCACGCCATTTGTATTAACCGCTATATTACAGTAAATATTGAATAAAAAAAACAATTCAAAGCAAAACATTATAATACGTAGAAACATAATTGGTGCAAATGACGTGATAAACACTTCTAGTCCATACGTATAAGACTCATCCATCCATTTTCTGTTATAAAATGATAAACAGCAAGTACAGTATGGGGTAGGAAATTTGCGTGCTTCATGTTATCATGTGTAGTTCACTGCACGCCATTTGTATTAACCGCTATATGTCAAATTTGAGTACATATCGGATGAAACCCAAATATAGGCCATAAATATAAAACAATAACACGGAAAACATTACATTTGGCTGTAACTGAGCGTGTTTCTCGTGCCGCGTGACGTCCCATTGTTAGTCCTCTGCGCAAACTAGTTCTGTATACACGTTTTGTAACCTCGAAATGTCATGATTACAATAAATAACACGGAAAACACTTCTAGACCATGAATATTTATAATTAAAATGAAAAACAGCTGGTTTGACGGTAATCGATGAGCGTGTCCTCTTGTGCTGCATGACAATATATTCGTCCGCAGCTGCGCTAAAGTTGCTCATTGCCACAGTTTGTAATCTGGAAACCGCGGATGTCGGGTAAATCGCGTGAATGTATTTGTGAACGCAGTAAGGCTTTAGGACCTGGAGGTGTGTTTTTTTCTGCTGCTGTTGCTGCTCGCTCCTCACGCGGCTCCTCCTCCAGCCGAAGGCTGTTTACGAAGAAAGGGGAGCTCGTCTTTTTGGCAAAAACAAGGGCTGAGACTTTAATCGAGAGGAGCAGTGTGTCTGTTGCCCTCAGCTCAGGCTCTTTCTCTTTAGGCTCATAAAAAAAAAAAAAAAAAAACTATCTTGAGAAATGGATTCAGTCCGTCATCGCTGCAAGATGTTTCTTTCTTTGCACATTGTTTTCCTCAGCGCAGCCTTCGTGGACAGCAGCTTTTTAAATGCAGACCAAAAAGGTAAATAGTCCGCACGTTTTTTTTTTTTACACTGTTGACAATGTGTTTCTTTTTTTCCTTTTAAATCCAGATACAATTCAATCCCAGTCCAAAGCTTCTTTCCCAGCCCGTTTTAATTATAATTGCAGCCTGTTTGTTGTTATTCTGCAGAGTGCATTGATTCCAATGGAGTGAGTTACAGAGGAGATAAGGCGAGTTCCTCCTCAGGCCTGCCTTGTCTAAATTGGACCGACACGTCCACACAGTATGATCCTCACACAGGTAAACCTATCAAATGGTTTTTTTTTTTTTGGGTTAAATAGATCACATGAAAATAATGCATCTGACTTTAAAGTGTTTTTACCAAGACTGAAATCAGTCTCATGCAATGCAAAGTGCATGGAGAGCCGTTTTGGCATTTATTCGATATTCTTGATAGTCACCTTAATGTCACTGTTGTAGTTCATGCTAGTTCATACGACCATTCAGTGCAGTGCACTAGCAGCACGGAAAGTACAGTGTAACAACTGTGTCTCAATCGATTTATGTACAGTTTGTACTAGGGTGCCCCCCCCCCCCACACACACACACACACACAACTGAATAACATTTCCTAACCCTAGCTGGACAACTTTGCTCTCCTACATTTGTAGTAAACCGATTCTGTTAATAGTCTGTTCCTAAACGTTACTGGAAGAGAGCGTATACTAATACATGAACCTTAAGATGGATATCAAATAAATACTAGAATGGCTTTCCATAACAGTATGTTTATGGTTTTAAATGGCCTCCCTTTGCACAGCAGCAGCTGCTTCTTCTTGTCTTTGTCCCCATGGGCGGCTTGCTCATTGTTGTGTGATGAAGTTGTGTGAATGATTAATGAGTCCAGTGCTGGGCAGCCACAGCAGGACAAGTGTGTGTACGTGTGGTTGTAAGTGTGTGTAGGTGTGTATGTGTGTATTCAAATGAGGGCCTCAGTAAGAGACCTGTGCTGTTTTACTCCTTCCTAATATAGGTGTGGGAGATCACAATTACTGCAGAAACCCGGACTCCTCAGAGCGGCCTTGGTGCTACATTGCGGCCCCTGATGGGATCGTTCAGAAGCAGTTCTGTTCCATCGAGCCATGCCAAGGTGACTTCTAACCTCCTTTCCTTGAGAACTGGAAATCACGGAAAATTCCCTAAAAACAAAACATCAACAACATAAAACAGTTTGCTTGATTTGCAAACGTGCTTCAAAGTGAGTTATGTTCTGGAGAAGCAAGATGACATTTTTGTGCAGCTCCCAAAACATTTTTGTTTGTCAGCCCAGAAAAATTGGCAGTGTGGGTTAAAACTTTGATGGATCACTGGTTCTCGTTCCAAATAATCCAAGTGCAAGTAAAATAAGATTTCCCTCCGCCCTCCTCAGTAGTAGGTCACTTGGTTAAATCTCCATTGAGTCTAATTTACCCTTTGTTTCCTTCCTAGCTTAGATAAACAATAACACAGCGACCACAGTTTTGTGTTAAAAAGTCCACTCGCTCTTGAGTCTTTTTTTTTTTTTTTTTTTTTTTTTTTTTTGCCACGCCTCACATTGTGCCTCATTGGTAGACGGTGGCTTTCTCACCTTGGAGACAGAACCGTATAGGCTGCTCCACTTGATGATATCATATACTCCTAAAAGTCAACTTTATAAACAGCTGACTTGTGCTTGCAAAGGAAATGGGCGATGTGGGAAAATATTGAAGCGCAGATGTGGAGGCCAAACCTCCTGTTGCTTATGAGCATGCGGAACAGTTTTATGACCGCTGCTTCCTTTCAAAAGATCATTTTCCACATGTTTTGCCGTTGTAGCGCTCAACAAGAGCAGGATCGCAACACTCTTTCAGCCCTGGCATCGGTGGTCTCATTATTGGAGCAACAATAACCAGAAAAACACGCACATTATGATATGGCGTAACCCTCAAGTCTAATTTCACACAAAGTGCCTCATTTTTCTCTACACATTATACAACAATATCAAGATGTAGACTTAAACAGTGGAGCCCAGTTTATCACAGAGGACATGTTCCAGACTTATGCATAATAGGTGAGCATCTTTTTTTTTTTTTTTTTTTTTGTGGCTGTGAACAATGAACTGTGATATATTGGAGATTACAAAACTATTTTTACACAATACGAATGATACTATACATCCTTGATACTTTTCACCTGATGATATTGAGGTAAAAAACATGTAGTGTTATGTGGGAGAAATCTAATTCTGTAAAGGCAGTCCTTGGTTCCACCGTACTTGGTTGATAATGAATTTGACAAAGTATATTCAATAAAACCCATTAAGCTGTCTCCATAAATTAACGAGATGTACCTTTCCTAACAATCTTACAAAGCAATCCCGACTGACTGACTGCTTTGGCTAATGTGATGATACGTTGGCAAAGCTCCAAGCTTTAAAAGTAATTAATTTAATGGTGATGCTGCTTCGTTGTGTTCCAGAGCTCACTTCCACCAACGCGCCAGAGTCGGAGTCGGACGGCCCAACGGGTGCCACTCTCGACCCAAATACCGATCTCCCATCAAAGACGCGCTCATCTTTGGGAGAAGCCGCCGGTGTGCAGCCAGTGATGGGAATCAGCCAGCGGGTGCACACCGGACCCAAAAAGAAAAAGGATCTGGGGACGCTTGGTATGTATATAGCCTCCTGAAAATATACACGATGACTTTTATCGACTCTAACTTGCCGTTTGCTTGATGCGCTTTTTAGGCTACGCCCTCGGCATCATCATGATGGTGGTTATAATCGTTCTTGGGGCGGGCATCACGTTTGGCTACTTCTACAAAAGGTCAGTGCATGAACAAACGCATTAAAAAATAATAAGAACGGAAAGGTGGCAAAAGTACTTGCGTTCTGTACTTAAGTAGAAGTACAGATACTTAAACCAAAAAAAAAAAGTGTAATCGACCGAGGAGGAAACACCAAAACTGCTGACTTTCAGTTCCAGAGTGTTGCTGTGGTGCTGTATATCGAGACTGAGGTCTTTCTCTGTCTCCTTTGTTGAGCGACAGAGAGCTGTAGTGAGCGTGCTGTCCCTTTTGGGTGTGCGCTCTGGAATGAGATACATCTCTGCTTTCAGTAGAGCCGTAGCAACCATGACAACAGTTAGTGACGGGTAACAGGTAGTCTTATTGGGCCATGTTTCACTCAGTATTTCGTACTTGCTGCATTGCCTGCCAGTGGAAACAGAAAATGGACGCGAAAAAACTTCAGTAGGAGTTCAGCTCGATGAAAGTACTGTGTTTATACACAGACAGCAGAGCTCGGACTTTTCATGAATTTTTTTTAGCGAGTGTTTTGCCCCCGGGCTAGCCAACTGTAGCAGTGCTACAGGTGCTAGCATGGACGTTGGACTCTCCAACCCATCAGCATCTCATTAGTCAGTTGGCCGCGTTCCATCATTCTGATTTACTTTGTAAAGATGTTAACATCCAAGTGAGATCTCATAATAGTCGTTCTTTTGAACCTCTCCATTTGGGTGAATGTTGTGAATTGATTTGCAGCGCTTCATTTTTTCGGGTTTTTTTTGGAGCCAATTTGGTAACATTGAAGTAATCTGTTTAAATGTACAAAATATAAGGTACAATTTTAGAAACTAACACTTCTCCAAAGCTTTGTGTGTGTGTGTGTGTGTGTGTGTGTGTGTGTGTGTGTGTGTGTGTGCGCGCGTGCGCGCTGTGATAACTTGACTTGTAACAGATGAAAGAGCCCTGGAAAAGTTCCCCAAAAAAGAGTGGATACCCTGTAAATGTTATTTAGCGGGTTTATAAAATGAAACCACCGTTCAGATGTTAGAGGTGTCACAACAGTAAAAAAAAAATGTTGGCATCAATGATTTTTCTTTTCACAAAAAGCAAAATTGCTTCGACTTTTGGGAGAAATGGCTGCATGTTATCAAATCTACAGAAAAAAGTATTTTTCTCGAAGGGCCCCCCCCCCCAAAAGAAGAGTGTTTAGTGTTTCATTTGTGCATGTGTGCACATGTGAGAGTGTACTTCATTGCTAGAGGCAACAGTTCAAGTTACAGAAGTAAAAAGGCTTTTTTCTTTTTTTTTTTTTTTTTTCTTCTTCAGCTTTCAGCTTTGCATTGGTCAGCGTCCATTACATTGCACACTCGCTTTCATGGTGGTGTGTGTTGCGGGGCATCATGTGTTATTGCACATTCCACTCTTAATTGTCTGTGTTGTTGCACATTTGCACGCCATACCAGAAAGAACATGCTGCAGGGCGATGGCAGGAAATGAAATGTCTTTTTTTTTTTTTTTTAAGCTTTTTCATTTCAGCTTCTTAGGAAACATGGTAATGTGAAGGAGACATTTACTGCCATGAAGTCTAGAGCACAACGTGTTGCTTGTTGGATAAGCTGTGTATTTCTTTTCTATTCTAAGAGGGTGATTAATTAGGAGAAGAATGTTACATCTTGGGTTTTATGTGCAAGAACAGCATGGCTCTTGTCTTTCTGATGACACAGACGCAGTGCAAATAACTCAAGAACCAAGCAGGGATACATGCGCCCCACAGTCAAAGTGCCTGTGCAGTCTTTTTTCGCAGGTTTTCTCCTGGTACAACGGCTTCCATTTCCAATGCATGAATGTTAAGTTCATTGAAGATTGAGTAGGCCACAGTTGTAAATGATTGTTTGGATCTGCTCTGCGTTTGCCTGGCCAGTCCAGGGTGTACCCATCCTCTTACTCAAAAGCCAGCTGGTAGAAAATGAATAGCCAGAAGAGAGACTAGTTGAGTATAACGGTACCTGTCTCGTTTGGCTATTGATCAGTACAAACATGGCTCAGTCTCAAAATAGACGACTCATGCCAGCTTGTCCCGTTCACCATCTGCCACTGTTTCCGCTCAAGCCACATCACAGCAGTTTATCTGAGGCTCACAAATAGACACATCTCTGCCTTGGGCTTTACAGTATTTAAATGAAACCCTTTAAAGCTATCACAAATTTTATATATATAAATTTTTGCGCTAATGTGCAGATCAACTTTGCCCTGAGCAAGGCGGGATTTCTGGTGAGAGTTTGCAATTAAAAACAGCATAATTACTGTATGTATCAGGCGATCTATGTGCACCCCCTCCGGCTCTCTCTCTCTTTTCTCATGGAAGCAAATTCCTCAGCTCAGACGTTTCCAACTTGTCTCTAAATCATTCCTTTTGCGACTCGTCTTTCTCAGGATTCAGTGCGATTGATTCTGCAATTGCATTCCATCGGACTTTGTCGTCACATGGCAAACAGTGTAATATGGCTCCGCCCATGATTTGTCCGTCTTTGCAGGAATTTAAGTTGCTCCTCTTTTAAAGATCGTCAGAAAAGTTGTGAACTTGGCAACACGGACTGCAGTTATTGTACACTAGCTCCATTTTGTACACTACCATCTTGAAAAACTAGCTCAACTGGAGTGCACTTTGAACTACGTGCTTTGAAGCCGCGAAAAAGAACTACTGTACAGCGGGGCCTTGAGATATGATCATACTTCTAACTCAAAACACTCAAATGTCAGAATAATCTTTCCCCATTGAATTGAATCGAAATGCCATCAATCCTTTCCAGCCTACTACCCCAAAAAATCCAACAATTAAAAAAAAATAAAAAATTGGAAAAATAGCACTCAATAGCACTGTACTTAATAAAAAATACATAAAACCACAACCATACAGTCATGACAAATGTAAAAAAAATTAAGATGTTTTTTTGTTTTTGCTTCAATTCAGTGGAAATGGTGCTGCTCCTTCTGGTGTGTGAACTTTGTCATCTAGGGGGCAGTGTATTACAGACATACTGATACACAGCTCATGGAGGCGAATCTCAGCTCTGTTGTAAGCTGCTGCAAAACAGTATTAGGTCTTCTTTGAAGAGGTTAAATAATATATGCAGTATTTTTATATTGTCTCTGTGTTCCTCCACGGATTGTGTTCAAAAGCTGTTGCCTAAGTGTTATAGCACTCGTATGTCAATGCACCACTCTATTTGGAACAAAAACAAATGTCCTGAAAACTTGAATCGTTATCCTTGCTGTTTGAAGAAAACGGATCAAGTTAATATAATGACACTGTGTGTGCTTGTCCAGGGGCCGAGACCTGAAGAAGCAGCACGAGCAGCGAGTGTACGAGCGTGAGATGCAGAGGATCACCCTCCCCCTGTCAGCCTTCTCCAACCCCACGTGCGAGCTGGTCGACGAGAACACCATTGTGGTGATGGCCGAGCACGAGACCACCCCGGTCCAGGGGGAGGTGGAGGGCGAGGATCTCCTCATGGGCCAGCAAGCGGGCACTCCCGGCGCGTGAATCAGGATTTATGAATAATCTCGTGGACCAAAATGACCCTCATGACCGTTTGGTGTCCAGAAGCAGTTTGATCTGATGACTGATGCCACGTCCTGTTTCCTTTTATTTTTGCCTACGTGAGACAAATAAGGACATAAGGAGAGGGAGCCGTTTGATGTGTATTTTGATATATTTGAAAGCCAAAAAATAAGCTGGTTGCCTGCCCTCTTAATTAGGAGTACCAGAGACTTTGTCAGTGTTATAACTGTGTGAGATGAGGCCATTGACAGGAAGCATGGGCATCATTTGTAACCTTTTGATTTGTACATACTATGCGGAGAAAGTGGACTCTCTGCTGATGAATATGTGATGAATTGCAATGTGCTTTGACCCGCTGGCTGTGCCGAGGGAGAACCATACATATAATGTATATAGATTTGTATAAACGTTGGGCATGCGTGTAAAAATAAGCATCTCCCTCAAAAGTTAGGATGAGTGGAGCAAAAAAAAAAAAAAGCCCACACAAAACGAAAAGGCTTTCCCACCCAGAAATGCCTTAGCACTCTACCTGGCGAATGCACTTTGAGAAAGATGTGCTTTACTTCTACAGGTTAAGGAGTGGCAGGAAATATGTTTCTCTCAGGAAGCATGAATGGCATTTGAGTTGGATGTGCATATCAAGGATGTTTCTAATAAACATACAAAATGGACATGTTGAAGTAAGTTTACAATGTGTTTCAAGAATCAGTGAATTTTTAAAGGCAACAGAGCTAATGGCAATGAAATGATTGCAGTGTACCTTTAAGCGCATGGTACATTTGCATTACAATTAGGGCCTGCAAATGGTTCACTCATATCATCAGTCTGTGTAAACAGCCTACTACTCACCATGCCAGACGCGATGCTCTTTGCAAAGCTCACTCTTTGCTCCCATGGAAACGGATCCTGGTAGAACAAAAAGCAAGATCAATGAAAATACAATTACGAGGGTCGAAGATTTAAATATAGGCATGAACATCATCAAACTGACATTTGGACCATAACACTAAACTCTTAAAAAAAATAAAAAATACTATTTTCCTCATCCAGTCCAGCCCTCTAGGGCCCATTCAAGCTTCTGACAGTTTACTTCAGGTCAGCACCCCCAACCGTTTCACTTCCTTGTTTCTGCTCTTCTCCATGTTCTGAAGCGAATCAGAGCTTAAAACAAGTGCTGAACTACTTCGGAAAAAAAAAACAAACTCTGACTTTTTTTCCCTTCGATATCGAGATTGCTATACGCTTATTTTTTTCAAGAACCACTTCAATTAAATTTTGTTTTTTTTAACAAATCCAAGCAATGTATTGTAACAAACAATCTCAGATTTATTCTGCATAAACGTTTTGGTCTGATTAGGTTAGGCGTATGCTCAAATGAAGGCAAGTGAACTATTAATTAAAAGAGAGTTTATGTCCCCAAACTCTTTTTTCCCCTTGATATGGAGATTGCTATACGCTTATTGTTTTCAAGAACCACTTCAATTAATTTTATTTTTTTTTTAACAAATCCAAGCAATGTATTGTAACAAACAATCTCAGATTTATTCTGCATAAACGTTTTGGTCTGATTAGGTTAGGCAAGTGAACTATTAATTAAAAGAGAGTTTATGTATTGACTTCAATTAGAGTAGTTAACTCGCTAAAGACTTTGGCTTGCGAGCTTTTAAGCATTCACCACAACGACTTTGTACCAAACAAGTGTGGCGGGAATCCATCAATGACAAATCAGGCCGTAACAATAATGCAAACAAATTGGTGGCTTTATCACTTCAACTTTTCATGTTTCATGAAACAATACGATTGTTTCATGAAACATGAAAACATGTGGACTGCACTTCTTAAGCACGAACTTATCTTGACAAGATATAAAGAAATAAATATACACATTTTATATGTATAAAAAAAGTCCGCCGACCAACCAAGGTGAATCAGAGGTTCTTGTTTTTTTCCCCCCAAATTGCAGCCGTTGCAATTAGAAAATTGAATTCTATTGCGTTGCGATCTCGATTTGAATTTGCGCACTTCTTAAGCACGAACGTATCTCGACACTATATATAGAAATATATATCCAAATTTTATATGTATAAAAAAAGTCCGCCAACCGACCAAAGTGAATCAGAGGTTCTTGGGTTTTTTTTTTACCCCCAAATTGCAGCCGTTGCAATTAGAAAATGGAATTCTATTGCGTTGCGATCTCGATTTGAATTTGCTGAAGTCTTCAACCCTACTTCAAACCCACAGTGTCTCTGATGAAGTCCTTCAGGGTGCCTCCTTCGATGAACTCTGTAATCAAATTGAGTCTCTTGTCCTTGTACAGCACACCGATGAACTTCAGGACGTGAGGATGCTCCAGGCTCCGCATGACTTTGACCTAAAGGTGATGATGGATCATGCCGAGTCAGTCAGCTAATGGTAAAATGTGCCCGACGAGAAAATAAACATGAAATCCCCGAACCAACACACCCGGGGATAAAGTTCTGCCCACGGCAACAAAAACAAAGAGATCACTGTTGAAACATGTGGCGCTCTTTCCGCAGAAGAATAAATTACAGGTCGGCACAGTGCACTGCTTTGAACGTGAGGAAGCGCAGGCCTACTGCAACTCATTACCTCCTTGAGGAAAGTTTTCTGGGTCTCCTCGTCACAGCGAAGCAGCTCTTTCATCACCATCACCTCTCCTGTGGCTTTATGAGTCACCTGCCCACCCAACAAAAGAAAAAGAGCACTTGACACGTCATGATAGGTGCGGGGGGGGGGGGGGGGGGTCGTTCATTCAGAGAGAGAGAGAGAGTGGCGAGACCTTGATAGCCTGTCCAAAGAAGCCTTTTCCCAAAACCTCGCCGTGGATGAGGTCACATGGCCTGAAGATGCGATGAGAGCAGCTACTGGACGACCTCAAAGATTCAGAGCGACCAATGTCTCGGGTAATGAAAAGATGCTCGTTGGGGGAATTGGGTCCAGGGGACTTGCATATGCTGTTACTACGCCTGAAAATGGACAAGGTGGTCCAGTTCCATAAGCTCTACGCTACAGCGGCAAGCTGCACACTCGTGGCAGTTTTTTTTTTTTTTTCTGGTCAAGACGAACCTCTCCCACCCAGAAATGCCTTAGCACTCTACCTGGCGAATGCACTTTGAGAGAGAAAGATGTGCTTTAGTTCCACAGGTTAAGGAGTGGCAGGAAATATGTTTCTCTCAAGATCTCCTCTTCAGTGTGTTGTCGTCCACCTCAGTTCTCTCCAGGACCGCGTTTGATGGCGAGGACAGGCGCATGCGGGAAGTCGCCGGCACTCCCAGCGTGTTCCTGGACGTTTCCAGTCGGAGCCGGTCCAAACGTTGCCTCACGGGGTCATATTCGATAAGCAGCTGTAATGTTTGACTGGTGCGATGAATGAGGTCATCCACCTATATAAATTAAAAGGCTGTTCAACATTTTTGACTTTGATACCGGACAATGTCAGTGGTCACATGTGTTGGATTATCACAATCAGAGAGGTTTTTAATTTAACCGGTGCCAGAGTAGAACCAGCAAATTCAGCGAAATACGAGAGGCACCGTATCGTCACCCTCTTAAAATCATGACCAAAGTCAAATTGTGGCCAATTTTTTAAAAATCCTTAAAGATTTCCTCATGATGCTAAAATCGGCTGCAACCTGAGTTAAAAAGATCACACAGCTCTAGGCCTGAAATGAAATTATTAACATATGGAATCTAATCAGAATTTGGCTTATTTTTTTCATGTTCTGGAAAAAAAAAATGACAGGTACTTATTTTAAGAAGGTGACAATATAACAGAGTGCACATTTGCAGCAATGCAAATTACAGACTCAATAATAAACAGACAGGGCTCCTCGGTTTACAATGCTCTGTAGTAAAGTCATAATTAAAGTACTTACTGTACATATTTGTATGAAAAACACTTCTAGGCCAAAAACATAAAACAGGGCTGAGCGATTATTCCAATTCAAATCGGCATTGCAATGCAATTTTCAAATCACAAAGTCTGCAATTTGGGGAAGAAAAAAAAAAACATAATTTTGGTTGGCAAGTATGTATTCATTATTATTTAGTAATTCTGTTTTAATTGTGGTTTTTTGAGGTACAGGCACTTCCAACTTGAATGTATTATTATTATTATTATTATTACTATCATTATTATCATTATTATTACGTAAAGGCAGAATTTTTCAGAAATGTTCTTGTACTGGACATGATGGTGTGTATGTCCTGCAGATGTCTGTCAAGTGTCGAAGGAGAGCGCAGCGAAAGGAGTTGTCTGTACAGGCGGAGAGAGAAATGTTTTGATGTCACAATAATGATGTGAGAGTGAGGCTGTGAGAACTCAAAGACTCCCAAGTACTGCATTCATTTCTCATTGAATCCTCTCCCTGCTGAAGAATGCATTCATGATGGTGGAATGAATGGAATGGCAAAATTCCCAGCTGCTGTTGATGCACGAAAACAACAAAGGGAAATTCTGTGGCGGTGAGGTGAAACTCATACGTAATTAGAAATTAAAGACCGCGCCTCTGAGTGAACATTTTTGGGATGGGAAGATGTGCAAAATCACCTCTTCCTCCAGCAGTGTCCCCACCGGAACACCATTAATCTCAAGGATCCTGTCTCCAACGTGGATGGCATTCCGCACCTCGGGACTAATGAGCATCCCTCTGACCCTGCTCATAAAACAACACCACATACAGGAACATGTGTTCATCACGGTGGAAATGAGCATGCCTCTGACCCTGCCGGGAACATTGTGTATGTTGATACTAGTGTAAGGCTGAGACATTATGAAGAGCAGGGATGCAAAATAAAACAACAAAACAATGCTGATCAGAAAGTCCGTGGAAAAACTCCCCCCAGCAGGAAGCACACAATATGCACCCAACCGGAGGGTCACTCACTCTGTGACTTGGACACTCGCCACGCCACTGACGTCACGCAGCACCGATACGGACAGGCCTCTCTTGCCGTTGGCCGCGGAGGGCATTGAGATGAGCGTCACCGTGTGGGGGAGTGAGTCCAGGACGGAGTCATGCGAGCGCTTTTCCAACATGGGGGTGAGGATCAGCTGCTTGTAGCACTTCCCACTGCAGACAAAAGCAGACGGGGCGAGATGACATGTGCCGACAGGCTGCTGTTTGAAGTTGCGGCACTCGGGGGAGCGGCGCTGAAGGAGTAATGGAAAATGACTAATAATGATGGCTAAGTAGCCTTTGAATAGAATCAATTGTTCGTAAAACATTACGAGATTATGAAATACTGTATTGTGGCACAATCCAAATGACGGGTTACGGCTTGCTGTCTCTGTGACCCAAACTTGGAGAAGTGGACGATGGATGGATGGAATCAAAATTCTATTGTGCTTTTGGTGAAGGAGAACCTTCCCTTACACTCTTCTTTTAAAACTGACAATATCATATGCACTAGGATCATTTGAAATACTAATGTACCAAAATCTTTATCATTGCAGCCAAATTAGTTAGATTCGTTCAACAAAGGCAATTCACTGAAATATCCCCAATGAAAACACACAGCAAAGCAAGCATGCCAAATCACAAATATTGAGAATTTGACAACTATTACATGATATATTCAATTAAAGACAGTTGAAAGTCCAGTGCAGTCTGGAATAAGGTAAGCATTTTTAGAAGAGCTTTTTTTTTCCCCCCTAATGTAATAGATGTAAACTATTAGAGACAACTCTCCGTATGACGCGGTGGACATCGGCTTACCAGAAGAGTTTAGAGCGCTCCACTAAGGCGTACGTATCCCGGTCCTCAATCACCACCTTGCAGCTGAGACACACAAAGCACTCGGGATGATACTTGTGTTCTCCAGCCACCTGGAAACACAAACGGTGTTGTTGAATTTCTTGCTGCCTTGTATTTGTATTTTCTTTTCCTCCCTCCCAGTCGTAGAAGCGTTCTCCGGCGCGTCTTGGTTGAACTTCCAGCCGTCAGTGCTGACACAGGCACAACACCTGCTTCGGTTTCAGCCAGTCTGGAATCTGCTATGATGTCACCTACACGTTGACAACTGAGATGCTCCGTCTCGTTTTCAAGCCCCCGAAAGCGATCGCTCACGTGCATGATCTTGTTAGCGTTGTTGTCTTTCTGGAATTGAGGCTGCGCCCTTCGGTGTTCATTGCTCTCGGGCGAGATGAACAAACGCATCTGTGTTCACTTCAAAAGGAAGATCATCGCATACTTGAGCAGTTGGAAGTACGGCTTTCTTGTCAAAATAGGAAATATGGTTGCTAGACGGTCATGTCAAGAGTCGCTAAGTGAAAAGTTTGCGGCTGCTTTTGAACACAACAAAACAACGCAGCACGGGGAAGAAATTGTGTTTACAGTGAGGAAAAAAAAACAGACTCTATAGAGCCGAAGCTCAAGGCAATCTGTCCATAAAGACTAGCAAGTTACTGCATGAAGCAGGTATTTCTTTTTTTGTTCTTCATATGACCAGGATTTAACTTTTTTTTTTTTTTTTTTTTTACTTAACAAGCAACAGATGCAGAAAGTAGCTTTTCATTTCATCTTCAGTTTTTCCAAGCTTAAGGAGCAGCAGGCAGCAACTACTAGAGTTTTGCGCTTTAAGCTATCGGGTTAATACTTTTTAATGTGGAAGACTGCAAGTACAAAATGAAGTTTAAAGTTACGGACGTGGAAGTGCTAGTGGCAGATAAACATGTCAGTGAGTTATAGAAAAGAAAAGCCATAATATGGCATGACTCCCTCTTGTGACTGGCTACAAGTCACATTTAAGAAGATTATTTTTGTTTGGAGCATGTCAAAAATGTTGACCTGAGCAGTACAGTCATCTCTCATCTCGCTTGCACCTCATTGTGATGATGCAGATCATTGCCTTTCAGACACGCCATTGAAAGACACAAAATCGCAATTTGTCTTGGGTGCGATTAATCACACTGCAAGTGCGACATTAATCCATTTGCATATTGTATACTCCTCTCCAGACTGTGCAAAATAAACCGCACAGCAATTTTGGCACAAGCAATGCTGGGTGTGCGCGCGTCGTAGATCGGCTTCCATTCCACCTGTTTGTATGAGCAATCAAGTTTGCGCCTGCCCTCCAGGATTTTTTTTTTTCAACCACAGCCATTTGTTTTAGCGCTACGTATTAAAATAAAAACACCTTTTTAAAAACTACAGATGTAAGTAGAGCTGTGAGTCAGTGCTGAGAGGATGATGTCGGCGTGACGAGTGTGACATGACGCTCATTTGTTTGTAACTCGCCAAAAACAGGAACTCCACTCAGAACCTGCCAAGTTCAACAATTCTACAGACTTTGATCCCAAAAAAACTCTTCTTCTATATTTAACAACATAACGGAATATTTAACACGAAAAATGTGTCTAGCCAGGTGTGACCCTTATTCTTAACCAGCATACTGTACTTCCTCAAACAGTTGCCTCTGCTCTATTAGACGCTGCTGTTTTCCACAAAACGCTGAACCTCAAATTGGTGTCTCCTTCCAGCCCCACATCAAAAAAATAAAATAAATAACAGGGTGGTTTCATGTAAAGCTGGAAGGGCGCTCACCACTACATCAGACACTCATGCATTGCAAAATCTTTTTTTTTTCCCTTGTCATTATTCATGTTTGTCAATAATTCAGTGCATGCCATTTTTCTCCATTGGAATTACTTGTACTGTATATGCTAAAATAGAGCATTGTATTACCTACAGTTGAGTAAAGATGCATGGCCAATATAAATACAGAAACAGTACACTACACTAACTATCCCAAACACGGTAGTTAACAACAAATAAAAAAGCTCACAAATGCTTTTTTTGTTGACTCTACCGTGCCGCTTCACTACAGGAGACTGAACATGAGGTGGGCCCCCAAACCACGATCTGTGTTCTGGAGTCGGTCAACCGTGGAGAACTTTGGTGCAGAATGAGGCCTCAAGGGGGAAACTTAGTTGGCCAATGGGTTTGGATGGCTGCCATGTTCAGCTGCAAGCCTATGTAAAAGTATCACTCGTCTGTAAACGTAATCACCGCGAAAAGCGTACACTCTCCTGCCTTGTAATGTGTGTTCGCATTCATCCAAAGTAGAAGGGAGAAAGTGGAACATAGAGCGCTTTGACACGCTCTGTGGGCGTTCTGGTATTATCTAATTAGAGGGGGGGGATTTGTTGGCTCGTGGGTTGATGGTGGCCAAGCGCACTGTAAGGGGCACTAGATTGGTCTTACAGTTTCATTTGTACACTTAACACAAAATAACTACCGTAGCAGAGAAGGGGGAAAAGGACTACAGCTAATACAAACAAGGCAATTGAATTTAGTCCCTTATTACGCAACTCAGTTTCTAAAGCACTTTAAATGCAGCTGTGACAAAATGTTGTACACACTACATGAAAATAATACAATCAGTAGTATGTATGTATCAGTGTCATGATACTGATGTGCAAAATAAGTGGACATCAGAGCGGCACGTCGGCGCAGGTCACAATAAATAAATACTGCGAGCATCAAGAGTAATGAAGTGGCGATAAGATGATGACCGTTTGTCTAAAAGCTTACATGCATTGGATAAAATATGAGCTATACAGTAAGTCAGGTGGATGTCAGAATACAGTTCTGGCGTTTGTGGCAGATTTACCATTGCAGGTCCGGTCATGAGCAGAGAGCATCCGTGACACAGCTCTCCAAACCTCTCCCAGTAGTGTTTGCGACAGTACAACTTCCCATCCTTCTCATAGTACCAGTTAGTCAGGTGGTCGCAGCACACAGAGCACCTGGGAGGACAAAAACAGGTCTGGTCAGCCTTTTGCTTTTGTCTGAAATGTATTTGAAAAGCCTCTTGAAACCAAGTTGTTTTTATGAAACAAGGAAAGTGTGATGGTGGATGGAGCTGCTGCAACGTGCCGCCTTCAAACTTTGCTGCTCGAGAGAGTGACGCGTCAATGTTTTTGGAGAGAGTAAGTTATTAAGTGGTAGTTGTTAAGGAGGTCTGCAGTTGTTGACATGAGAGAGATTTTGGTGAAACCAAGGGTTTGTTTATTGGGCGCCTCCTTATCTGGGCCACCACATTAGCCTTTTGGCCTTTTGGAAATCTTTTGTAATCCAAGCCTTGGTCACGGAGTGGTCCAGTATCGCAACCCCCCGGCTTCAAATAAAGAAATGAAGGCCGCATTAACTGGCAGATGTTGAAAAATCTAAGCAAATTCAGGTGTGGAAGTTGAAAATTCCAGTTAATAATTGGACCCATTTGTCACCTGGAGCGACGTCGGCTGAAGTTAGAGGACATTTCTAATCGCAACTTCGAGGCCAAATGCGTGAAATGCAGAATGGGGCAGACTGAGAAGCAGCTGCAGACTGTGAACATTTTGTTAAACAAGATTTACTGGTTAAGCAGAACTGGGCAGCAACTTTGGATGCCGGAGAACAATTGACTATAGAGCGCTCTGATTAGTTTACCAAAAGGCTGCCTACGTTGTTTCAACGTTGCACATCTTCAAAAAGTTCTTGAAACTATAAGATTTGCAATTAGAATAATTGCTCAACTCGACCGAAACTTTTTCTACTTCTTCAACTGATTTTGAAACGGATCTCTGATTTGCTAATCCGAGTCCTGTGGAACCATTCCAAGTATGCAGTGTGACATGATAAATCAGAAGGAGACCGCTGATGGTGTACTCAAGCTTCCCTTCCTGGCCTCGTGCCTCTTGCTCCAGGACAAAGTAAATGATTCATGTTGACTGACATTGGCGCAGACTGATTTGAGTGTTTTTTGGGCATAACTTCAAGGGGAAAATGTGTACTTTTTAATGACTTGCATACAGATAGTTGGGTCTTCGGACGACCTGTCCACCCATCAAGCTTGAAATTAAAGTTATTTATATCTTGCATCATCCGCCATTCTCTGATTCTGTCTGAGCGAGTTATTCTATGTTTGCCTCCCCACTGTGATACAACAGCGAAACAATTAACATAATAACAAATGTCAAGTATGACTGCATCTGCATTGTGGAGACAAATGTGGAGAGGCGACACTCGATGATGGGAAAAACTTCGCAAACCCTACCCAATAAGTTATAGCTTGATTTGTAAAATTATTTTCAGCAGGCCCAAAAAAATTTATATTTTCTACAGCAATTATTTCAACGATGGAAAATTAAATGCTTCATCGCACAAGTAACATTTCGCTCAATTAGTCAAGCCACCCATCCAAAAGACCATATTTCAAGATGAGCATGATCCATTACATGTACGCTGATCAGAACAAAAAAAACAAAAAAAAAAAACAGCATAGAAAGCAAGGAATACTTTTTTTAATGTTAGAAATAAAACTGATTAATCTGCTCTTGTCACTTTGAGCACCTCCGAGGTGGAGAAAATTCCAGAAAAAAAAACCCTAATGATCATTCATTAAATTTGTATTACATAACATGACGTTATGAAACCACACAGAAAGGTCCTTGAAGCCGTACTGATAACAGGGAGGTGCTCAGAACAAACTCAGGTGGGTTTCCGACGAACAATGCAATAGTCCAGCCGGCAAAAACACTGCAAAGTAAACAGTCCTGATTTCCTTGAGCCGCATTCCTGCTGAGTGTATTCTTTTGTTTGAAGGACGGCGTGGTAGGTAGCGCGACCTTTAGTTGTGACATTGAGGACTTTGGGAGGAAGTGTTTCACCTTTCATGGGATCCTTATCTCAGAGTGTGGGATTGTTGCAAACGTTCTCCAAAACGATTTTTCTCCTGTGCGTGATGAGTGATAAAACTGTGTTTCCATTCATATGACAGGAAACGCCTGTGTGTAATTCAGTTCAGTCTAGTGGACATAGGAACAGTGCAAGTGACCTTTGATTGCAATATATGACAAAAATATGTGACATTAAAAAGGTCGTTCAACTATAACTTATAGTTGAACAACCTTTTTAATGTCTGCCTCTGGCTTATAGTCTATAAGCCAGAGGCAGACAGAAGGGTTTCAGTTGTCAATAATTGAAATTAATATGACTAAGTTCAGAAGCAAGGAATAGAAAAATGGGGGCAAAATGTAATGTACTACTTGGCTGTTGTCAGTCAAGGTGTTGTTGATTCACCGGTTTGTGGTTTTAGGATTAGAACATGAGCTATGGGAAGTTATATCAACAACCGCTCTTGTGGTAATAAACTCCCAACATAGTCAAACAAGCAAATTTAGTCAAATGGCCATTTCAAATAATGATGTCCTTTGGGAATTCATTCTTTTTTACTCCCTCGAGGAGAAGTGTGGAGGGGGGTGGGGGGTGGCATTTTTTTTTTTCCGACCTGACTGCCAGTGTTTGGCCCAAGGCTTTGGGCTGCTGTGGCCACTGTAGAGTGCCTCATTGTCACCCATGAATGTGCGCATGTCATTCGGAGTAGACAAAAAAAGCAAGGTAAAATACATTTTTAAAAAACTGACCGACATGAAAGCCACCCTGCGGACGGGGGGCTTTCTGCTGGTGTGGCCGCTATGTAGCACATCATGGCAGCAACCACCACACCATGAGCCGGTGGGATATATTTCAACCACTGGAGGCTTTAAGCAGATATATTTTCGCGGCTCCAAAATGTAGCACGCTCTTCTCTAGGGTGTCAAATGTAGAAGACCTATTTATTTTCACTTTACGGGGATTATAGAAGATTATTTTTTTCTTCCTGTTATGCAGTCCAAACAAGAAAGAGTCCCATTCTGGCCACAACACGAAATTTCAATTTTAAGGGGCCCTAACATTGAAAATGGACTTGAAAATAGCTTGTACACAAATAGTACAAGCATAGCACAACAAGTAAGGAAATGTGTGTTCGGTAGATTATTTCTTGGTTTGGACAATGTTTCATGGCACCAAATCTTATACTGGGCAGTTGGGAATCTAATTATTTCCACTCAATGGTCCCACATTTGTAAGAAATATGCATTTGCGGGATGAGCAGCAGAGGTCAGACTGTGAGTTGCCCGCATGACAATGTAGCACAATTCTCGCCAATGCCAAACTACCATGAACTCGTGTTTGGTGTATTGTGTGATGAATGTTTGAGAATAAAAGACATTTTGGCAATTTAATGTTTTTTGTCACAAGTCAGCCAATGTGGTTGCGTTGGCCACTCTGGCCCGATCCTGTTATGCAGTCCAAACAAGAAAAGGTCCCATTTTGGCCACAACACGAAATTTCAATTTAAAGGGGTCCTAGCATTGAAAAATGGACTTGAAAATAGCTTGAATACAAATAGTACAAGCATAGCACAAAAAGTAAAGAAATGTGTGTTAGGTAGATTATTTCTTGGTTTGGACAATGCTTCTTGGCACTAAATATTATACTGTGCAGTTGGAAATCTTATTTCCACAAAATGGTCCCACATTTGTAAGATACATGCATTTGCGGGATGAGCAGCAGAGGTCAGACTGTGAGTTGCCCGCATGACAATGTAGCACAATTCTCGCCAATGCCAAACTACCATGAACTCGTGTTTGGTGTATTGTGTGATGAATGTTTGAGAATAAAAGACATTTTGGCAATTTAATGTTTTTTGTCACAAGTCAGCCAATGTGGTTGCGTTGGCCACTCTGGCCCGAACAGCATGCGCAAACTGATACCAAGTTTGCAATGGGGTTGAAGTCAGGACGTCTGTGACAAACTCCGCTCTGTGGCGGTAAGCGTTCATGATGAATGTTGGAGAATAAAAAGACATTTTGGCAATTTTTTTTTTTTGGCAACGTGTTTGTCACGGGTCAGCCAATGTGGTTGCGTTGGCCACTCTGGCGCACGAACAGCATGCACAAACTGATACCAAGTTTTCAATGGGGTTGAAGTCAGGATGTCTGTGACAAACTCCGCTCTGTGGCGGTAAGCGTTGTTAACTTGGAGGACAGACTTGGGTCCCAGACTGTGAAAATATGGATGGCGATTTGCTTGGAGATTTGGCAAATTATTCCTCGGTGTAAAAAGAACAGACTCAGCTCTGCTGTTCATCTCACAAATGCACGACCATTTAAAAGGGGAATAAATGGGCTTTCCAGTGATCGATGATTTATAGCCGAGCTCACCACCCCAAAAAAATAGCAATATCAAAAGTGAAGTGATTGGTGATAAGTTTACATCTACTTTGTAGTGATGCTCTGAAGTAAAATCTGCGGGGTTACTTTAAAAACCTTTTTTATAGAATTTTCAAAATATTACTTTTGCATTATGGACAAACACTGTGTTTTCTAGGGGTGATGATTGCAGAAGTGCACCCTTGCCATGGTTATGATATTATCCTAATTGTTTGCCAATAATGATTACAATATCACAACGCTGGAATTATGTGATAGTGGATATATTGGTAGCAAACTACAATGGACCACAGCACAAAACTTTGAAAGAGAATTAAAACTTGAAACGTAAGTACTGTACTCGATTTTGTTTGTGTCTTCAATGAATGTAAATAGTCATAATGGATATGTGTCACTTGGAATATACATCTAAATCAGGGGTGTCAAACTCAATTTTGCCACAGGCCACCGGCGTAGTTTTGGTTTCCCCCACAGGCCCGTTATGACTATGAAACCGCATAAATGTACTATCATCACTCGATTATTAATTACCGGTATTATATATAATCAAAAAAAATTTGATGGATGATATAGTTTGAAATCAGAAGCACAGGAAAATACAAAATCAACTTTGTTCTATTCAATTAAAAAGGGATTTAGTAACAGGAAATGCTTACAGCACCACTACGTTAAATTTTGGGACCAATTTTAACAGAGCAACATGAAACAGATGAGACACATGATTTGCTTTGACGGGTTAATTAAATTTGATGTGATGGGCCGGATCTGGTCACTTGCGCTGTAAATAAGATGGAGGAGTACGAGGAAAGACACAAGCAAAGGAAAATGATCTCAGAAATGCCCAAATCTGAACCTTTAGGGTTCATCCAGGCTGAGTGCTTATTCTGGGCCAGACATTTGATTTCTTTTAAAGGAATGTGAATGCTCTAAAAATCCGACACTTATGTTGCCATGCCAGTGTTGCTTTGAGCAAAATTATCCTGCCAAGGAGGATGGTGTAGTGGAGGTCTGGTGTCCATTACAGTAGCTCAACTTCCCACAGCTGAAATCACGTCACTGATATTTAGATCGCAATCTCCTCGAGACTTTATCAACACTGCCCCTGCGTCTAGCAACCAATTAGTGAAATCAATTTTTCCTCACTTGCTCAATGACCAATCAGTTTCACATGAAAGAATATTTGAGAAATTGATTTGGCTGAATTTAGGCAGGATGATTTGTGCCATGACTGCTGTGTGGGTTGTCTCTCAAATAGTTTCTCCAGACTAGTGGTGCTCCAATGGATTGGCCTCCAATCGTGATCGGCCAATTTCAGAACAAAAGAATGCGATCGGCATATTTCAATCAATGCCTTTCATTGCCAAAAAAACAACAACAAAAAAAACATCACCTGTGGCTCGTACTTTCCAGCCTGCAGCCAACTAGAGATCAACCTGTGTGCATTATGGCATCCCCTCCCCCCTTTCCTCAACACTGCACATAGCGCAGACCAAACCAGTAAATAATGCATAATTTTTGAAAACCGGAAGTTACACACAAGCAAACCAACATACGTGCATCTACGAAAACAAAACCTTGTTTGGCGGAAGCAAAAACCACGACAAAAAGTATTCCACCCATTCCCAATGAGGCACAAAAGAACAGGCAAAGCTTCCTTTGCAGCAAACAAACAAAAGGTTTCATGAGCCGAATTTTGAGACAGCAGACTCCCATCTCTGAATCGCCGGTGAGGAATGCAGACATAGCGCGGGAGGGTGCTACTACATATAGGCCTCAACACTGCCAGGTTGACTGGAACAAAAGTGACATCAGCGCATAAGAATGTTATACAAGGTGGAGGTGGTCCGTTGGCAGCGTCATCAGGCAAAGGATGTTTGGCTTGCTTTGCTATGGCAATCTGATTACTTTGTAGTTTACAAATCTAGAATAAAGTGTGTCATTCGAATGATGCCATTTTTACACTTAAATGCAACGCTGCACATTTAGCTAAGTGACACTACAGCCGCCACACACACGTGCATCTAATATCTCGCATTAGTGTATAAAGAGAAACAGTGGAGAAGTTACAGACAACTTGACATCATGATTTAGACATATTGCAGCAGCAGGAGGAGCGTCTCAATGGTGAGTAATGCAACAGTGAGAGGAACACGGCCTCTGAAACAAGGACAGGGTTGTGTATGATCTTGAAGAGGCAAAGTTTGGCAGGACTAAAATCTGAGGTTGTTTAAGGACAGTGTGCAGTTATTTCAGTGTTGAGAGATATCATACACTTTGACAATTTGGAAAATCCAGATGTCTTCAAAAGCCAAAGACAGAGGTTGAAAGTGTAAAAAAAACACAAAAAAAACCCATATAGAGAGCAAAGATTTGTTTGATTTGAAATTCAATCAAATCTTTTTTAAGACTTTTAAACACCAAACAAAAACTTGGTTGAGCAATGACATCATACAAGATCACGGCATATCAAATGAGAATTCAGCAAATCTATAAACAGCTTTTTCAGATTTATTTTTTTGGGGGTGGGGGGTGGGGTCCAAAAGAAAAACTATATTTGTAGGAGATCTGTGTGTAGCCGGCGCACACAACGGGCACAGCGCCTAACACGATTCACAGTCAAATAGGAAACGCAAAAGATTTTCTTGGTTGTTTAGTTTCACATTGCCTGTCACCCAAAGTGAGCCAGGCTAGATTCAAGCCTACGGGCCACCCAAGTGAGACGAAGAAGGACAGAAATGGACGAAGAAGGACAGAAATGGACGGATGGGTCAGAAGGCAACTCACATGTCCATGAGTAATTACAAAGTCCATTTTTAATAATAGTATTATGTATGTATGTATGTATGTGGTGTCAAGAATGGTAAAATGTTACTTTGAAGTTTTTGTACTTTAACTTGAGCTTAATTCTCACACTACAGTTTGGCAGGCAAGTGTCATAACTTTCTGATGATCAGAGGCAACTTATGGCACAGTGGGAACCTACTTGTTGTTTGCAAACTGCTTATGTTGGCATGTACAGGATGAGCAAAGGCTAACTGGCATGCCTACATGTTGTATCTCCCCATGGAACAGTAACCTGTTAAACCCGCAACTCCCACTTCAACTCCACTTTGTCAATCATTAAGGTAAAATCCGCTGCTAAACAGTCTCGATTCAAGTTGTTTGCTGCACAAGTGCAGATGTCATCCACCACTGGGCACTCCGTGTTAACAGCAAAGTCACTTCATACTTTCACTCTATAACCGAAACCAGTCGTGTTTAGTCTGTGATACAGAAGCTTCTGCGATTATCCTGAAGGCCGTTTGTGACGAAACCAAAACAGTGACATGTTGACCAAGAGCAGTGCCACTGTCAATGCAAAACAAAGAGTTCATTTCATGCCAACCCACTTTGGGATCCATCCCCGCACAGCTCAGTTGTGCCTTGTGAGACATGTATGGGATCTTGATCTGAGAGACTTACTGGAAGCAGGCGTAGTGCCAAATGTCCTGCAAGACCTTCATGCGGAACGGCTCGTGGACTCTTGTTCCACACCCCGCACAGTAACACTCTTCTGTACCTGCAACAAGCAAAACAACAGTGCTGCGACTTAACACTTGAATCGATCAAGTTAAACAATCCTGTGAGTAAAACATTACAGCTTCGTGCTAAAGTAGCAACAATATATGATCCTTCGGCATCTTGAACCTGAACTAATTCCTCACCTTCTGTGTCTCCCATCTGCTCAATTAGGCGAGCGTCGTTTTTAACCTTTTACAAACGTTGCATACTGCGAAAAGCGCCGTCCGTGTGGAATTGCACTCCGCGACTCGTCGCTCCCGGTGAAAAATAAGACCGAAATGCAGGATGAGTGACGTCGTACTGACTACGAATTCCTGTGCCCGAAAGCGGAAGTGCTGGACAGCAGCACCTGAAAACAGGAGAATGCCAACAGTGTCCAACAAAACAACAGTAGCGCCCCATGCTGGCCAAATGTGTAAACTACATTAAAATAAAATCAGATCAGCGATTGAATCTATCCATCCAATCATTATCCGAGACGCTTATCCTCACGAGGATCGCAGGCGTGCTGGAGCCTATCCCAGCAATATCCATTTTCTATACTATTTTCTGTAGAGATTATCACTAGGAATCAGTAAAATAGGGATAATAAACCAGTACTCTTTGAGGGGAATTTTACGTTTTTTTAAATCAATTTTTCATTTTCCGTTGCTGGTTTTCCTTTGGAATGACCTTCCGTCAAATGTGAGGCAAGCTCCCTCGCAATTTTTAAAACTCGCCCTGAAACACATTTTTAGATGGCTTTTGACTCAACATTATACTCGTTATTATTTTAGTGTTTTATGGTGTCTCTTAATGTATTTGTTTACTGTCTTTGTTGTTGTATGACTGATTTTCACTCCATGTACAGCATTTTTTATGCAGCAATGGCTTTTTTAAGGTGCTTTATAAAGTTGAATTGTGGAATGTAAATGTGTAATTGTATAATCTAATAGTTTGTCTGTCTGTCTGTCTGTCTGTCTGTCTGTCTGTCTGTCTGTCTGTCTGTCTGTCTGCATGCCGCCCGCCCTTCCATCTATCTATCTATCTATCTATCTATCTATCTATCTATCTATCTATCTATCTATCTATCTATCTATCTATCTATCAGTGGCGATTGCTCTCTATCTATCTATCTATCTATCTATCTATCTATCTATCTATCTATCTATCTATCTATCTATCTATCTATCTATCTATCTATCTATCTATCTATCAGTGGCGATTGCTCTCGGATTGCAAGGGAAGCTCGGCTTCCCCTAAAATGTCAAAGAATAAGTGATCAAACATATGAATGTAAATTTCATTGTGTGTACATGTCATTGACTAAATATGCGCTACAACATGCTCAACTTTTGTTCCGAATCAGCTTCTTCTTACTGGTTACGACGCGACTCCCTTCTCATTCATTCCAGCAGCTTCGCTATGCTTTTAAACGGTGGACGCCGAGCGTCCGCAGAGCGTCTGTTGCCCAGACGCCGGACTTCTCGAGAGTTCTGGGTAGGTTGTCCCAATGCGTTGAACGGAGACGAGTCATTGGATACAAACTGGTTTTTGTCCCGCCCACGGACGCCCGGCGTCTCTGGGAGTCTATGGACAGTGGGCGTGTATCGGCCAAGCCTGGACGCTGAGCTTTCTGCATGAGGATTGGATGATCTGTCTGAGGCGGAATCTCGTTATGATTGACAGCAAAATAAGCCAATCACCGATCTTTTAGTGTAGGCATCCGAGGGAGCATTTTTCAATTCTCATTCTGTTCTGAGTTGAACCGGAGACTTCTAGTAATCTCGAATGGCAACACTCTCTTTGTTGAAAACGACTAGTGACAGATTAATCTTTTATTTCTGGTGTGTTTTATTGTACTGTAGTTGCTTGTGTTCGCAGACTGACTTATATCACCACAGTTAAGAACCTGGAAAAGACGCCTTGTTGGTATGCCAGGGTCACAGATCATTTTCTTGAAAAAGAACGGAGAGTAGAATTCACGTAGAAATAAACTGACACATTTTATGATGTAGCCCGCAATTGAGCTTCCCCTTCTTGACAGACCAGCATCCGCCACTGCTATCTATCTATCTATCTATCTATCTATCTATCTATCTATCTATCTATTCTGAATACGGTAACAGGGTTGGGTGAACCTTTTTCCACAAAAATCTGATTTCCAATTTTACCTTTTTTTTTAAATCTCTTTGTTCATAGAAAAAGCAAATGAGAGTTTTACTCTTTTTTTCTCCTGACACGAAACAAGCTTAAAAAATACCCACCCTGAGCATTCCAAATAAAAAACAAATATTGCTTATGTACAGATAATGAGATAATGTGAAAATACATGTTTACGTTTGGATTTTGTTGTGGGTTCGGGGGTTCTGTCTGTTTGTCTGTCTAAATATCAACCTATCTCTACACTCAGTGGATAGAGGGCAGAGATCCATCCATCCATCCATCCATTTTTCCGCTCATGCTCAAAAGGGTCACAGGCGTGCTGGAACCTATCTCAACAGTATTTGGGCAGGAGGTGGGGTACATCCCAAACTGGTTGCCAGCCAATTGCAAGGCACACATAGATGAACAACCATCCACGCTCACACTCACACCTAAGGACAATTTGGAGTGTTCCATTAGCCTGCCATGCACAGTTTTGGAATGTGGGAGGAAACCGCAGTACCCGGAGAAAACCCATGCAGGCACGGAGAGAACATGCACACTCCACACAGGAAGGCTGGAGCCGGAATTGAACCCTGCACCTCTGCACTGTGAGGTTGACATGCTGACCAGTTAACCACTGTGCCACCAGAGATCCAATGGTCAGAAAAATAAAACATTTACCTTGATTAATATTTTCTTGTCTTGTCAAATACAGCCAAAGAATTGTTAAATTGTTTTAAGAACGATCATTATTTAGAGGGGAGTAGGGTAGGTTCATTGGCACATACCCCTTTGGCTCTTGATGCCCAAAGTGCCCCATCAATTGTTTTTTTTTTCAGTTTCTGAGAAAGGTTGTTGTTTCTGAGTTAATGATTGTGCTATCTTAGAACAACCATCCAGAGTTTACATTTAAAAGTGTCCCTTCGCCACACACCACTAATTTTCAGATGATGATCAAAGTTTGTTCTATAATCAAAAAGGAACACTTTGTTATTGAATGTCTGACAAAACGCAGATGACAGGCAATCAATATTTGTCTTCTAAGTACGGGTGTAACAAAAAAAACCCCGATTCTAATCAGAAAATCGGTCTTGATTTGAAGAACCAAATCATATCATTACATTTATAATAATAATAATAATAACAATACATTTTATTTATAAGCGCCTTTCAAGACACCCAAGGACACTTTACAATAACAAAAAACACAGAACAATGCGGGTTGAGCAGCGGCAACCAAAACGCGCCAGCGTTCACTCAACCCATTTAGATACGTATTGAATTGTCTTTTATGACAGATGTACAGTAGATAAAAATTGGTTTGACGTTGCTGATGATTTGTTCATACTTTGAATTTAATTAACATGGATAGTTTAGCTTTCGATACCATTTACGTGTTGTTGCATATTACAGTTTTTTTCTCAGTTGCTTTGGTACATTTCTCATATCAGAATTTACTTTCTCAAAACTACAGTACTTATTTTTTACATTTTACAATTTTCACATCATTGTGTCACTTATGCACTCATAAAAACAGTTTCTCATTTATTTGAACAAGTTACAAATGTTTTGCTACATCCACGAAAATCATTTTGTACAATCCTGTTTATTCTGACATTATCAACTGCTTATGTCGCGTTGATCAAAATGTATTATAGAATGCTGTAAAAAAATTGATATTTGGGTTTTCTGAATAAATGCAATAACGTTTACAGAGAACGGCTTTTGATGAATGGCTTTTAATTCAGTATATGTACATCAGTTTGGCTACAGCAGAAATAAGGACAGTGACTGGAGACGGAAAAGCTAAAAAGCCTCTCCTTCCAACTGCTTTCTCGTGCCTTTATTTTTAGGAAAGTACCTGTTGTATGAGTTAAAAGTTTGTCAAAACACATAACAATGAGAGCACTACAGTTTCTTCAGCGAATTCGTAATAAGAGCCAAAACAAAATCAGCTAATTAAATTATATTCACAAATTGATGTTGGAATGGCTAAATTCCGAATACATACACAAAGCAGGAAAAGAAACGCGTGTTCAAAGAACACATCCAATATGGCAGTATATTCAACGTATGTAAGACTGGTCAAAGCACCATATCTATTCTTACTTCCTCCCCATTGTCACGAAGTTAACAAGCTTCGACTGCAAGTTAGCAAAGGAAAGTAGTATTTAAACTTCCGTCAAAATATTTATGTTTCCAGAACAAACCATCAATCGTAAGGGCTCCCTATTTAACAATGTACATTGACGTATAGTATATTTTATTTTGAAAATAGGATTGACCAGAACTTCCTAACTTGACAATGATGTGATCATTACCAAATGCACGCATTCCCCCTGGCCTGTAACGACAGTATCCCATTAATAGAATCCGTTTCACTCTTTGTATGTGACCGGATGAATCTTTTGAGGGGGAGGAGTCGTGGATATAGGGTTGAGTAACGCTCAGTAATTCATTCTCATCAACTCAGCATCGGGCGGCGAACTCGTGAGTGGCGAATCGATCATGAGTGACGAAAAAACGAGCGGTTTGTTAACCTCGATTGGACAAGTAACCGTCGGAAAGACGGATGTGGCGAGACCCACATGGAGCGGGCGGATGGAGTTCATTCTGGCCACGGTGGGCTATGCGGTCGGGCTTGGCAATGTCTGGAGGTTCCCCTACCTGTGCTACAGTAGCGGTGGAGGTACATAATGCCTGATGATATAATTTCTCCATACATCGACAAGCTTTTGCACACTGATGAGACGAATTCGTGACAACTATATTTTGTTTTTCTTTTGTATTTTCTTCAAACTAAATTATAATAAAATAAAATAATGTATATATAATTGCCTGATAAAGCTACAACGAGGACGTGTTTCGTAATAACGTGTGCTTCACTCAGTTATCTAAATCCATTTGAGTTTTTAAGGCAGGAGTTTCTTCACACTCTCCAAATTTCACCCTAAATTTAGGGCACAAGTTTTAATTTACAGATTGGTGAGGTACAAAATGACACGAGAGTGGACTCAAAACATGGAACCCATAATTTATTTATTTTATTTTAGTTATTGTAAAAAAAATCGTTTTGTCTCTTGCTCAGTCTGTCAATATTCATACATTTTGCTGTAAAACACACTTTAAAGTTCTGCTACTGCTCTATGAACCACCGAATGTTTTAGTTCTTGAATAATTGAAGCTATGTGTGGCCGCTTGAGAAATAGTCTGAGTTTGTCTGGGGTGGTGCCCTAGTACAACATTTCATCTCCTCTTTTTCTTAAAATTGGCTGTTCATGTCACCAACCTTTCACTTCACGGCAGGTTTTGGAAAAGACATAACTAGGTCTGGGCCACAGGATATCTTTCCAAAAAATAACCACAATGTCCTTGCGTCAACCAGGGCAAAACTTTCCAGTGTTTTCGCCGGTAAAAAGGCCTATCAGGGTTTATTATAACTTACATTTTGATTAGCTAAAAGACAGGATCTTATGTCATCGATTTTACTTCTGGTGTGGTCTACAGCAGGGGTCCCCAACCCCTGGGCCGCGGACCGGTACCCGTCCGTCGCTCATTTGGTACTGGGCGGCACAGAAAGGATGAAGGACTTACCGTACATTACTTGCATTTTATTAATTTCGAAATCTGAAAGATGTTATATTTTGAAAAGTTAGCAGATTCTCTGTAACATCCGTCTACGGTGTGTTACTCTTGACGCAGATCAAGGAGCGCTTTTTCTTTTTTGAGTTCTTGATTGCATCGTTTCTCCACCAGGGTCCAGTCTTAAATTTTCATAGTTTCAGTTAAAAGTGGAGCCACGGAATCAAATGTTCATTTAAAATTGCTGGTACAATGATCAACTATAAAATAACAACATGCAGGTAAAATGTCAGCAGGAGTGCTCTTGAAAATCTCGATAATCTCGTGTTTCCTCACCTTTCTCAACGGGGCCTCCTGATGATCAAAACTGGCGATGTGAAAATATGCACGCATAATCCATAACCTTCCACCTGGTGTCAAATAGGATTCACATACCGTAAATGTTCAAAAGAAAATGGCCCCATTGCAGCAAAAAACGTGGGGGCCATACTAACATTAAACTTTGATGTCAAGTAGCGGGTTTTGATATATAATCATGCAGGCCCCTGGGCTGTGAGTATGATACCCCTGCATGAAAGAAATGCTCATGGTGCATAAACACAGAAGGGGTCTGAGGTCGGCATACTTTTCAATGACTAAAGCCCAGAATTCAACGCAAACACGGCGACGCAGCATTTAGCTGTTATGTATCACGCAAATGGACTAAGCAGAAGTAAAGTCAGCTCCAAGTTTGATTGCTTTTAGATCCACAGAAACGTTGCTTCCCCCATACCGATGATTGAGCTGCTTAAAGGCATTTTAAAAGTCAATTTTCCAAAATCTTTTTATTGCACTATACATTCTTTCAATAATTTTAGAAAGCTACTCTTTCATCTCAAACTGCTTTAAACAACAAAGTGTATGAGGGAAAAGTGGTTAGGACTGCACGACTGTCCGTGTTTTATGTTATGTGTTGTGTTTATTATTTTACTTTATGTTAACTGTTTTGTTAAGCGCTTTGTTACAGCTGCTGCTGTTGTGTAAGCGCTATATAAATCAGGATGTATTGTATTGTGTTGTATTGTATTTCTTTATTCTGTTTTACAATGTTTTCATTTCTCTCGTTTGTAAATGCTTTTAAGAGCGTAAGTGGTATTATGTGTCATTAAGTCAACCTGCATTAAGTTAAATATTTTCACACAATACATAGAACTCATTCCTGACTGAAGCATCAGCCATAAAGACTATCTCTTCTTTCTATTTGCTCCAGGAGCTTTTTTGGTGCCCTATCTCATGATGGTATTCTTGTGTGGCATCCCGCTGCTTCTTATGGAGTTTGCGATTGGCCAGTTCACTCATCTAGGGCCAGTGCACGCCCTAGCCAAAGTCTGCCCTCTGTTAAAAGGTGAGTTATTTATTTGATTTCAGTCCTAGTGTTGTTTTTTTTCCCCCCTCAGATTTCTTATGACATGAACATTTTCCTCACTGTTAAAATCCATCCAGATATTTATGACACTGCTCATCCTGTGATCCCAATCCATTGCTGTTACCAAACAATGAGAACCTTGTTGGGAGGTGACATTGGGATTGGGTTGCACTAATTAAGTATCATGTTCAGGAGCTGACCAATGCTAAAGACCTGCTACTCATTTAATCTCAGCCCTTTGTTGAACTGATGTACTGTTCCCTTTGAATTTGGTCTACTCATTAATTCTGAGTCAGTGTGTTCGATGAGATAGTCTTCTGATCTGCAAAGTGTGTATGTCAACATTTGGCAAAGCATTCTTTTTGAGAAAAACCTGCATGTTTCAGTCACTACATTTACATGAGACTTATTAAAAAATGGAGCTATTTCATGACGTACATTTAAATGGGACATACTGTGAGAAAAATAGTTGCCAACGATGGGTTCCTTTTGTGCCTGTCAACACAACAAGTGTGAAAATAAACATCCAAGTCTTCCTCTGTCTAAAAATGTTTCGATGACCATGCCCTTAAGTACATCCACCCCACTGTGACAAAACAGTTGGGATAAATACCACAGTAAGCATCTCCAAGTTCTTCAGCCAATGACTTCGACTCGTAAATAGACCGAAGCTCTAGAGCGAAATAAGCACTTTGACATGATGACCTAAGCCCGCTTTCTTTCTCACACTCATGACTCTGCTTCCACTAGTAGAAGTCAGCAGCTGGACGAAAGCCAGGCTCGCCCAATTGTATGTGGGGCAGGATGAGATCTGGCTCACCACATGAAGCAGATCCATACCTTAAGCGGGCTTAAAATATGATGCAAAAAATGTATATCATTCTCGATCCGTCAATGGTAGTTTGATAAAAGCATGCCACGGTCATTTTATTAGGACATTTAGGAACTGTTTGATTAAAAAAAATAACTGTATGTCTCCTTTAAATCACAAAAGAAGGCAAAAAAACAGCTCCGAGAAATTTTGCACCAATTCTCTTCCCTGGTGTGAATCATTTGCGCCATTGAGTCAGTGATGTGCGGTGAGGTTCATCACTAATGAGGCGCTGGTTCCTCTGGGTTTCACCGTGCACTTTCACTTGCTCATCTGGCTGATCGGAAATACTAAATAATATGTCATTCATTCAATTTACTGCACCGTATTAGGCGGCCTGCTTCAATTAATGTGCGCGTAGTCGCTTGAAGCACTTATTGCACTGTGACTCTCGCAGCTGCCCACACGTCGCTGTATTTGAACAGGAAAAATGGCAATTCAGCGATTTTAATGTTTAACTCATTGACTTTATTGTATTGAAAAAGAATGTCAATGTAAAGCATGGATCAGAGAACTAAAATGGAAAATTATTAATCTAATCATTAGGTGTTTTTTTTTGTTTCTTTCTTTAATCTTCACATGCAAGGATGTTCCAATATGCTGTACTATACAAAATACAGCATGCCTTGCGGTACATTAGGTTATCATTCCATAATCGTTGTTTATAATAATGTTGTATTTAAATTAAAACTAGAGTATTATGTTGCATTGTTAAACTTTAATTTTTATAGTTTCCTTGAATTAAGTTCTTTTATTGAGATAACAAATTGTTCTATCATGTTGATGGATGAGAACTTGTTTGGCTAGTTATAATTTTCACAGAGGTTATTGACCTCAATTAGATTTCAGAAATAAAAGAATACACAGTATGGCCTTCAATGATAAATTGCGTGTGTGATGTGATTTGATGAAACACAATTTTACTATCGCAAAGACTGCGATCTGACTGGTCACTATATAGAGGGCGCAGTTCAGAACAGGCAAAGTTGTAAAACTGCCGCGCTAGCTTTCCGTGAGTTTTTCGTCTCACGAGACAATGAACGCGAGTATCTAAAATTCGTCTTTTTTTTTTAATGTGCTTATCACATTATTGAAAATGAAAGATGTCACAGTACATCAAAAACAGACATAACCTAAAGTTATCCTACACGTTAGCAGGTGAGAGGTTATTATCTGGAGTTCGTAAATGTTATTTTTTGACACGTTTTATTTATCTAATGGTCTATATGATAAGTGCAGTGTTTAAGAAGTGCAGTCAACCTTTACATATCATGTTTCATAACCTGAAGCGATATGTAGGAAGCCATCTGTGTGACAGAATTATCATACTTGCCAAACTTCCATGTGAAAGTATTTAGTAAGTTTTGAGATGAATTGTTTGTTGAAAAATATATTCGAAAAGGACATTGAAAAAAAAAATCGGAAATGAAATCGCAGTTTTTTGGGGGGGAAATCGCAATTCGATTATTTACACAATCGTTCAGCCCTAATACAGTATGAGGTCATCATGTGCCAGATGCATAACAATATTGCACAATCAATCATCTCCCACATTTACAATGTTGTGAAACAGTGTTGCCAACTTCAACCATGCAGTAGTTTAGCCATCAACCAGCTGTCAAAAGTCTTTTCAATGATTCATGAATTATGCTGTCTTCATTGTTCTAACTGGATTTTCTCCATAGTTTCTCTTTAAAGACAGAGATTATCTACCCGATCAAAACATGGGCCCTTCACTTGTTTTAGCACTCCTTTCTCCCACGTTTATGCTCTGTGATAAACAGAGGCCAGAAATCAGGTAGTTTTTTTCTGTACACTCTTTTGAATGATTTTCACATGCAACTCTGTGCAATTTGCAATGTTGTTGACCCCCAATCAGTGATTTCAATGGAAATTGTTGAATCAGGACCCACGCTCCTGTCGAATGAATTGCAGCATGCCAGTGTTCCCACCTTTGCCACTTGGGGGATGTGTCTCCTTCCGGGCTAATAAAATGACAGAAAAAGAGAAGTGAAGCGTGGAAATTGTTGAATCAGGACCCACGCTCGTGTCGAATGAATTGCAGCATGCCAGTGTTCCCGCCTTTGCCACTTGGGGATGTGTCTCCTTACGGGCTAATAAAATGACAGAAAAAGAGAAGTGAAGCAGCAACTGCTCCAAGCGGTTCTTTTTTGACAGTGATTTGGTTTGATGCACTGGTGGGGGAGTCCAGTCTGTATACTGCGTACTGGTTTTGTGGTAGGCAATCTGACGGGACAAAGAAAAAAAGGCGTCAGACAAGTTTATTGTATACGACAGTATTAATTCCGTAATTTCTGCACTGCTGCATTTCTCAGTGTCTCATGAGTTTATCCCCACAAGGCAAAATAATTGTGGCTTTGTTGTAACACGAGGATGTTAGCTGTTTAAGTAAGTCGTTATCCAAAACTTGCCAAACTGAAAAACCGTTTGATTGCAACACAGTCGATTAAAAAAATCGACACACCCCAACTTGCCAAGTTTTTTTTTTAAATTAATATAAACAGTGAGGCCAAGATAAATTTCTTTAGACCTTTTCCATCATTTAGTGTGACCTATAACCAAAACAAGAATACATTTAATCATTTTATAATGACATACATTAAGAGGAATTCAGCCACAACAAATGGTCTTAAATTGTTGACAGTTGGGGGTGGGGGTGAGGGTCACATTAGTTCATCAGAGATTACATAGAAAACTGTTCTTGTTGTTGGATTTGGAATTTTTTATGCAGGCATAGATAACCACTCATGGCATAACCGTTCTTTTTCACAGTCTGCAAAATAAATGAAGATCCCTATCATGCTTCAAAAAAACGTTGCTTCTCTGCAGGCCTGCGGAGAGAGGCGTTCTTGTCATGTGACTGCCAGGCTCGGTTTGATTTTTAAACCAGGAGTCAAGCCTTACTGGCGGTTATTTTATTTGGTGAAACCGAGCCGTGTGACATCACCCGAGGTGCAAGTCTCACTGTCGCACTAGGACAAATAGATGGCGTAAGCAGTAATAGATGGATACAAATAAAAAGTAACGAGTGGAATATAGCTCCATGTAATGGGGTAAATTAACACATCTCAGCAAAAATATTCACTGAGGAGGAGGAGTTCCCAAAGAGTTACCCAAGTCAAGGTTCCGCAGTAAGATAAGTGTTTCCTTGTAAGATAAGGCTGTCTTGCCACTCTAGCCTCGGCACAGACAAACAGCCACTACTTGCAATGTTACCTTTGGCCGCTTTGCAGTCTGCCTGCCCAGTTTGCTTTGAGTCATTTCAGCAATGTTAAGGGTCTGTCAAGGTCTTTGTAATGCGGTGCCATGTTTTCTCCACTTGATCAGACAAACAGCCACTACTTTCTTGCAATGTTACCTTTGGCCGCTTTGCAGTCTGCCTGCCCAGTTTGCTTTGAGTCATTTCAGCAATGTTAAGGGTCTGTCAAGGTCTTTGTAATGCGGTGCCATGTTTTCTCCACTTGATAGTGACTTTCTTCCATTTTCTCAGTATATTTAATGCTTCGAATCTTTTTTTTTTTTTAACTCTTCTGTAGACGGAAACCTTTGAACGACGAGATCCAAGTGATGCTGTGGAAGCTCAGTGCGGCGCATGGCTTGTGTTAGATCTGACTACAAAAAAGTCAAGAAAAGCATACTAGAACATCTGAACTTTATTTACCTCCAAGCCGAATGCCCGATTAAGAGAAGGATTGCTCACTTGCAACCACATTAGACCACTGTAGACTAAATTTCCCCAATGTGGGACGAATAAAGGATATCTTATCTTATTACCTTGAGATGGTTTAATTTTTTTTTTACAGTTGACATGCAAAGGTTACAGGTCACGCTCATGTTATGTCACATTTTGAAATAATTAAACTCGTTCTTGGCATGGGATTTTAACAGGGGTGTGTCGATTTTAGTTTTTTATTTTTCATATCCAGCGCACTTTACAGACTGAGACAAGTGGATGTTTGTCTTTCACTGAAAAGTTTTGTCAGGTGTTTCGATACTGTCTCGCACAGTGATGTCTGACGACTACTCTTTCATCGCAGGTGTTGGCCTTGCCACTGTGGTTATATCCTACGTCTTCTGCACCTACTACAATGTGCTCATGAGCTGGGCTCTTTTCTATTTGTTTCACTCCTTTGGAGCAACACCTCCTTGGAAGACTTGCAACAACAGCTGGAATGTCTTTGAGAACTGTTCCAGTGGTTTCCCCGGCAATGCCACAGATATGCAGTCGGCGAGTCAACAGTTCTTTGAGTGAGCAGCCTTAATTGCATTTTCATTTCACTTTTGATGGTTTGATCGTTACCGACAGTGCTTTACATTTTCCACATTTTGCAATGTCGCAGCCTTACTCCAAGATGGAATACATTCATTGTATTCTTCAAAATTCTACGCACAGTATCCCCAATTAACACCACAAAAGATGTTTCTGGGATTTTTTTTCAGTGCTGCAAATACATTACAAAAAAAAAAAAAACAACTAAGAAATCACATGTGCATAAAATATTCACGGCCTTTGCTTAGGCCAAACAAAAAAGATAGTGTGTTTCCGGTAACATGAAATTTCAGCATGGGGTCGGTAGGTCGGACAAAGTTTTTTTTTTAATCTTTTTTTTTTTTTTTTCCATCAAAACTGTAAACAAAATAACCATAAAACATAAAACAAGAAGACATTGAACCCGCCCCGCCCGTGGTGTTCATCAAAGAGTTCGCTGAATTTTTTCGATACATCAAAGGATGCTATTTTCTTAACATTACGGTGCGAGCTTGCGACTGTAACACAGAAAACGCGGTTTAAACTGTCGTCGGAGATCGCGGCCGCCGCCATGTTTCAATGTTGTTGACAGACGACAGGGCAAACGACGCACCCGCTCAACGTGAATATCACGAGAGTTTGCACCGACGTAAACCCGCTACACAAAAATGTAGAGGGTTGTTTGAAAAAAATGCCGACCGTGAAGTTTTTTTTCGACGTAGAAATTCTCGGTCGGTCGGGTTACCGGAAACACACTACTTTTTTTTTCTACGCCTTAGTACTTTTTTGATGCACCTTTATCAGTAGTTCAAGCCCCAAGTAAGACTTTTAGAATCCAATACCATAAGCTTGGCGCACCTATAGTATCTTTCAGCAGTCTTGCTTAATCATCTTTAAGGGAGGCGGTTTGGATGGGGTGTGTTGGTGCACAGCTGTTTGCCCGTCTTTCCTTAGATGTTCCGTTGCATTCGAGTCTCTGCTTGGTTGGATCACTCGAGGACATTCACTGAGTTGTCCTCAAGCCAGTCCTTTTTTTACCCTGGCAGTGTACTTACGTTCGCTGTCCTGCTGAAAGATGAACCTTTGCCCCAGCCTGAGGTCAAGTGCATGCGAGGTCTTCACCCAGAATATCACTGTACATGTTTGCATCCATCTTTCCCCCAGTCCTTTTATTTCCCACGATCTCCCAGTTTCTGCCCCTCAATATCATCCCCACAGCATGAAGCTGCTTCCCACCAGGCCTTACTGGCTAGGTGATAAGCGGTGCAAGGTTTACTCCCAGCATGGTGGGAGAATCTCTCTTGTTGCGGCAAAAATGGTTCTCCTTATGGAAGGATCTCCTCTTTCCACAGAGAAATGCCAAAGCCGTGACATAGCGACAATGCGTATCTTGACGGCGTCCTTTCTCCACCAGTCACCCGGTTTAAACAGGTGGCCAACTCACTAGAGCCCTGGTGGTTCTGAACTCCTGTGCGTGGATAATGAAGGCCATTGCGCTTCTCGGGACATTCAAAGCAGCAGGGTTTCTTTCGTACCCTTCTCCAAATCTCTGCCTTCACACAATGCTGTCTCTGAGCTCTTCAGATAATTCCAGTTGATTTCCTGTTTAGTGTTTGCTTGAACACACACTGTTAATTGTGAAACATTATAGACGGGCATGTGCCTTGGCAAATAATGTCATCCAGCTGAATGTATCACGGTTGGACAACACAGTAATAAAGGTGCAGAAACATCTCAAGCATCAAAGGATGGCCTGTGGAAACCGTATGCAGCACAGCTTCATGACCAAAAATGTGACAAAATCAGGAAAATGTAAAGCACTGTGCATTTTGCTTTCCACCTGTATGAAGTTACAAACATAAGCCACAACAAGAATGAACAAGCCCCCATTCTGCGCTCCCTAAACCAAAAAAATGTATGGCACGTTATAAAAAAAATGCCCCTCGTTTGTAAACTGACTCCTTTTGTCCTCTTTGGAGTGCAATAATCAGACTTTTGCCAAGACGACCATGCGAGTTGGTAGGACGGTTTACAGGGGCGGATGGAAATTACTGACTCGCTGTGGCGACCCCTGAATAGGGACGTGCCGAAAGGAGAAGAAGAAGAAGGAGTGCAATAATCAGCCTTCCGTGATATGTTCTTACTGTATGGAGTCCCCTGTTGTTATGGTACATGTTCATGAATTAATGAATCTTTTGTGTTTTTTATTTTTTTTATTTTGGATTTTCAGTCGCAGGCTTCTGGAGAAAACCAGTGGCATCGAAGATGTTGGTGGCTTTCAGTGGGAACTCTTTGGCTGTCTCTTACTTGCCTGGGGCTTTGTGTATTTATGCATTTTTAAAGGAGTCAAATCATCTGGCAAGGTCAGAACAGACAAGATAGATTTGTTGTTTTGTATTATTATGCTTGATGGAATGTTTATCTTGACAATTTATTCGCCCATTTGCATCAAAGTTCAAAGACACTGTATTCTCAGAACCGGCGAAGACTAAAAAAAATAAATAAATCTGAATTCCAAACATTTAAAACCTTTCTATAGATTTTCTTTTTTGATGCATGTCCTATTGATTCTCTCCTACAGGTTGTTTATTTCACTGCTACATTCCCATACTTCATCTTGTTCGCCCTGCTCATCAACAATATGCAGCTTCCCGGTGCCAAGGAGGGTGTCCTGTACTTCGTGACTCCTGTCTGGAACAAACTTTTTGAAGTCAAGGTGAAATCATCTGTAAATAAATGTATCTGTATCGTTAAATTGGTTTCAAATGTTTCGATTTTTAATTATTACAAGTGACTTTCGGCCTCTAATTTGGCTGTGCGGGATGAGTATGCATGTGCAAATCATTTTCCAAGAGGAACAAAATGGTGACGATAATCTCTGGCTGTAAAACGAATGGTCAGTGGGGATATAATTTCGCAATAATGTTTGGGAATAATGACATAGTGTGTGCAACAGAGTTGTGGGAGGAAAAAAAAGGTTGTCACTGTCGAGATGAGAGGATTTGACACACACACACACACACACACACACACACACTGGTGAAACAACTTCTTAATTACCAGTAATAATTCCTCATCTGTGTAACATACAAACAGTAATATTAATTAAAAAGAACAATTTAAAACATGTCTTTCCCAGGTTAATTAAGAGATGTGTACTGTTTTTGTTTATTCGTCTGCCTGTTTTGCATTGCCGCAGGTTTGGGTTAATGCAGCAGCCCAAGTGTTCAATTCCCTGGGAATTGCTTTTGGTTCCATGATTTCACTGGCAAGTTACAATAAGTTCAACAACAACATCATGAGGTAATATAAAAGGCATCTGTATTATGCCTGAGTCATGTTTTTCCTCAAATTATGTTCCTTTACTTGATGCTACTTCCCCATACAAAGGCTGGCTTTGTGTCATGTTTTTCCTCGAGTTGTACCTGTCTGGAACAAACTTTTTGAAGTCAAGGTGAAATCATCTGTAAATAAATGTATCTGTATCGTTAAATTGGTTTCAAATGTTTCGATTTTTAATTATTACAAGTGACTTTCGGCCTCTAATTTGGCTGTGCGGGATGAGTATGCATGTGCAAATCATTTTCCAAGAGGAACAAAATGGTGACGATAATCTCTGGCTGTAAAACGAATGGTCAGTGGGGATATAATTTCGCAATAATGTTTGGGAATAATGACATAGTGTGTGCAACAGAGTTGTGGGAGGAAAAAAAAGGTTGTCACTGTCGAGATGAGAGGATTTGACACACACACACACACACACACACACACACACACTGGTGAAACAACTTCTTAATTACCAGTAATAATTCCTCATCTGTGTAACATACAAACAGTAATATTAATTAAAAAGAACAATTTAAAACATGTCTTTCCCAGGTTAATTAAGAGATGTGTACTCTTTTTGTTTATTCGTCTGCCTGTTTTGCATTGCCGCAGGTTTGGGTTAATGCAGCAGCCCAAGTGTTCAATTCCCTGGGAATTGCTTTTGGTTCCATGATTTCACTGGCAAGTTACAATAAGTTCAACAACAACATCATGAGGTAATATAAAAGGCATCTGTATTATGCTTGAGTCATGTTTTTCCTCAAATTATGTTCCTTTACTTGATGCTACTTCCCCATACAAAGGCTGGCTTTGTGTCATGTTTTTCCTCGAGTTGTATGCCTTTACTTTCTGTTACTTCCCCTTATTAATGATATATTCTACGCTTGTTATTGAAGTACCATGTGTCTAGGGCAGTAATGTAGGGCAAAAAAAAATAAAAATACCTCCAGCAAGGCCAGTCCAAGGCTGTTTGTCTTTTGATACTTCAGACACACTTTTATTCAGACACAAACAATGGGATTACATTTTTCTTGTTCTTCTTTTCTTCCATCTTCTTCTCATTATTCTTCTTCTTATTTATTTTACCCCTCTTCTCTTTCAGAGATGTTTTGATTGTATCATTCATCAACTCCTTCACAAGCATTCTGGCTGGCTTTGTGATCTTCTCAGCTATTGGCTACATGGCACACACTCATAATCTCCCCGTGGACAACATATCAACAGACGGTAGGCAACTAGGAAACAGTTCTGAAAGCCATCGGCGCATACAAGTCAGATTTTGTGTCTCAAAAACTAATTTTCAATCTAGCTAGTACATCTGTAACTGCTCTTGAGATGATTCTGTCTAACATTGAATGCTTATGGTCCCCTCGATGGCATAAATCATTAAATGCCTTGCATTTGTATTTCTAATACAAATAACCAATATTCTGACTGTGATTTTTTTATTTTTATTTTTTTAAGGTCCCGGTCTTGTGTTTGTTGTGTACCCTGAAGCCCTCTCCACTATGCCGGCCTTTCAGCTGTGGGCTCCTCTCTTTTTCTTTATGCTGCTCTGTCTTGGTCTGGACAGCCAGGTAAACATCCCCACTTTTACAATGATAGTTTGTCTGCTAATTATGTTATTGGCCTGATAATTGGCCACTTAACAACTTCCACTTGATGCATTAGCATCACGGTAATAGCAGTTCCATTTATAGTTTAAATGAGGGATGTTATACTTTTCAACGGTCTTTTGATTTGTCATTAATTTCAAAGGCCCATAAATGACTCGAAAATGTTTGCAAGTTGATTGCATAATATTGTTATCACAGGACAATCCCCACCCCACTCCCCCACAAAGTAAGATAATGTTTCCTTTCTTCTGCAGTTTGCCACACTTGAGGTGGCTTTGACGTTCATAAAAGATGAATTTAGAACACAAATTCTGCACTTTCTCAAGAGGGAAGAGCTAGTGGCCCTGCTTGTCTGTGTTGTCTCCTTTCTTTTTGGACTTCCACATGTTACAAAGGTAATGCAGATGTGTTTGAACTATGCCATTTGTTCAATTTCTCATCTCTTCAGCTGCTACGCCACAAATGTATCACCAGTGATGATTTCTTTTCTTTTTTTTCCACAGGGTGGTATATATGTGTTTCAGTTGATGGACCACTACACTGCTGTGGTGTCCCTCATGTTCTTGGCTTTCTTCGAGGTTATTGCAGTCTGCTGGTTGTTTGGTAAGATCCTCATTTGATGTTGTGCCGTGTCTGTTAAATTGTAAGACTGTTGTGGGAGCCGCATTCACTGCCAAGCTGCCAGAACCAGTCGAGATGTTTTGGTTTGTGTTTTATCTAATAAGAACTTGTCATATTCCATTAGGGGTCGGCCGCATCTCGCATATGATTGAGAAGATGCTCGGAAAGCCTGCGAACATCTACTTTCGCGTGTGCTGGTTCCTTATCTGTCCTTTGCTGGTGCTGGTGAGGCTCTCTTTGAACATGATTACGTTCTTCTCTATCTATCTATCTATCTGTCTGTCTGTCGGTCGGTCGGTCCGTCCATCCGTCCGTCCGTCCGTCCGTCCGTCTGTCTTTCTAAAACTGCTCTGCCAGAAAAAGAAATATTTTGAGCCTTGATCGTGAATCACTTTTCAGCCACACATGAATGTGATGCTGTTGAAAAATGTTGGTGGCGATACCATAAGTGCACCCAAGAAAATAAGTTGGGTGCATCAATCCAAAAAGTTAGTTGTGAAGCCTGCATAAACATATACACACACATACGTACACGTTCATGTACAAATAGGGTGGAGGGATAGGGACCAGGCCGGACAGTGAATAGCGAAAATCCGTGTATAATTAATGCTCATTATAAATGCTCTGGAAAAAAAACCTAGTTCCCCCCAAAAAATTCTTGGATAAAATGGAAATAAACTTCTAATAGGCATTTTCCACGAAAAATGGGCATTGACCCAAACAAAACAACATCCATCCATCCACTATCCAAACCGCTTATCCACACTAGGGTCACGGGTGTGCTGGAGCCTATCCCAGCTGTCTTCGGGCAGTAGGCGGGGAACACGCTGAACAGGTTGCCAGCCAATCGCAGGGCACACAGAGACGAACAACCATTTACAATCACAGGAAGGCCAGAGCACAGATTCAAACTCTGGACCTCTGTACAAAAAAAAAAAGCCAAAATATTGCGAATAGGTGACTCCAAGAATACTGAACTGTGAGTAAGCAGTGGTCCACCGCATGCATATAAAAACAAAACAAGCATGATCGCCTGCACCGTACACCTAACTTGATGTTTTCCTTTTGTAGTGCATACTGGTCTCCAGCATCATCCAGTACACTCCTGTTCAGTATGGGACATATAAGTACCCATTGTGGGCTGAAGTGGTGGGCTGGGGCGTCTCACTGGTCTCTCTGATCTGGATTCCCATTGGAGCCATTCATGAGATCTATAACAACAAAGGCTCTTTTCTCTCGGTGAGTATAGGATGGATGTATGGGATCATGACTGTGCAAAAAACTTTGTGCCTTTATTTGGCTGTTCTCTCTGACTGTTGTCTCTTTTCAGTGCAAGCACGCCTGCTAAACTCACTCTGTAACCCTTTCACTGATACTAAAACGTTATTTTCAACAGCCCATGCACATTTACATGTTCATTTGATGTTTTGTGTTCAGTTTTGTTTTTATCCTCTATAAATCCTCATTCACCATAATGGGATTTTATTTTCCTATACTCTAGTATTCGTTTACTTGCTTACATCAGCTTTATTCACATGGGATTTTATGATTTCCTATACTGTAGTATTCGTTTACTTGCTTACATCAGCTTTATTCATACATCGATGTCCCAAACAATGAGACCCACAAGGTCATATCCAGTTTAGTCTACTGTATGAAGAGCTGTTCTGTACACAGAACATCATGTGCCAAGATAAGAATTTGAAGGTTGTAACTTCACTGGGTCTGGATAGAATGTTGTCTTTGGACCAGAACAGTATTTCACGAGCGCAGTAGTTTTTTGTTATGGTTTGCTCCTCACAACAACAGACAGTCATTTCTTACAAAATGATTTCTCCACTGCACAAAGTCCACCGCATTTAGCAAGCCAAGCCATTCAGTCTAATATGAGCCCGATCAGGAAGTGAGCCTTTACAAATGTAATCATTCTCAGGTTTGATGTTATTTTATATTTTTGTATTAATTTAAAAATATGTTTGTTAGAGTAGTTGTAATTTGCAGTGGTGTAGAACTGCACTGCATCACATCAGGCTCTTTCTAATATTTATTTGATGACATGAGAGGGGGCAATAAATAGTTGTATAAATACATCTTTATCTAGCAATGCATTTGAAATAAATCTTTGTGGAAGCATCGCCGATGGGACAAGAAAGAACCCATGCAATTTGTTTTGGATTTTTGCAGTGGGGCATTTCATTTTGCTTTTCCTTACTTTGACTGCATTTACAGTACATGCGGTCAATAAAACTTTTAAAACCTGAATGTCATGGAAACGTGCAAAAACCCAAGTATGCTCATATTCGTGTTTTTAAAAATCCGAAAAAGACCCCTGGGTTTTTCAATCTGAATATTTAGTCACATAAATGTGTGACAGAATAGAGGGGTTTGAGGTTTTCTACATTTCCCACAATGCATTGGCGGCTGTCATACTGAAAGGCAAACGCCACTAACTAAGCGTCTTTTTCATTGATCATGCCATGTACGTGTGTCTTTGTTGGCTGTAATAGTCGGTGGGCGGGGGGCTGTTGCTTCCCGTATCCTCGTTTATAGTTATCGTACAAGAAGTGAAATATGCAAAATGGTAAATGGTCATTTCTCAATTTGAAAAAAACGGCTGGCATCGAATGAATTCAGTTCATTTGCCTCCTACATCGCAGCACTGGAAAATTGACTTCGGATGACTAGTACCATATGATGTTCGATTGTGCACAGACTAATTGCACAAGACTGATATAGGTCACGCTGGGCAGTACTTTCCTTCGCGTCAGCAATCCAGTCTTGCTGTTGAAGTTTTATTAAGATCCAAATCTCCAATCAAATGCAGTCCGCGCACTCGCCTGCCTGTCTAAAGTCCCCGCGCACTTCATCGCTACGGCACAAATTTTTTAACACAAGTATTGGACTGGACTTCCTGTGTGGCATTTGCATGATCTCCATGTCCTTGCATGGGTTTCTTCAGGTGCTTCTTCCACGTTAAAAAAATGCATGTTAGCCTAATTGAAGACCCAACGTTGTCCTATGGGCTGATGAGGGCTACGATGAGGGCTCTATTGTTCATAAGTGTGATATTGTTTGTCTATGTCATTTATGTGTTCTGTAAAAGTGTTCTACAGCTGTTGCGAAAGCACTATATAAATAAAGTTGAGTATTAGTTGCGCTGAGATTTGCTGGCTATTATTTCCGTGTGTAGCCCACTTCTTGCCCAAAGTCAGCGGGGCTAGGCTGCAATTGACCCATAATGCGAACAAGCGGTATAGATGTGGGTCCTTTGAATGTTGTGGCTGGCTGGGGAGTGTGTACTGTGAGTGTTTAAGCTGCAGCCGCATTTTAAGTATTGGTTTTATATCTTCCCCTTTCTTCTTTTTAGAGACTGAAAACAGCTGTGACTACCACAGTAGAGATGGCTGTTGATGATCCTCTACCTGAAAAACAAAAACTTGGCAGCTCGGTGGCGGAAACAGCAAGAGAACACATTGACACAGTACTTTGAGGGGTATGGTATTTTATTTTTTATTTTTATTTTTTATTTTTATTTTTTGTATAATGGGGAAAAAATTAACTGAGACAGAATCTCAGTATACTGTGCATAAAATAAATCTATTTTATTGCAGTTGGAAATAAACCATTACAGTTTTTAATTTGACACTTGAAATGTCCAGACATATCAAACTGTCAGAGCCCTTGTTTTTAAATCCAAAGTGTCTTACTGAGCCTAATAGAAAGTGAGTGCTTGTGAATGCAGATGTTTTTTTTTGCATTTGATTTTCATAACTTTGCATTTCTGGCAATCCATTCACATACTTTGCCTGGCACATCTAAACGGGAATTCACATCAGCGCTAAATCAAAATCATTAAATCATCAAAATCTGATTATACTCTTAATGTGTGCAATGGGCTGCACATATACGGTATATGTCCTATACCTGAAAGCCAAACTGCAAGTCACAGTTGAACATAAATTTGCCTTAAAATCTTTTATATTTTTATTTTTTTGACGGGTTGGGTGGAGGGTGGCTGAATTACATGTGTTGCTATGTGTACAATCATATAATCTAAAATGACACATGCACAGGCTTTTACAGCTAATATAATTTATTTGAACACATGGACTCAAAACTAAATGAATGTACATGCTGAAAAGCTTTAAACAGATTATAAAAATTCAAATGACATAGCTTTGTTTCACAAAAATTATGAATGTATTTAATGGATTTTTTTAAATTCCATGCCTTTCTGTAATGTTAATGCATTTTTTTTTATTTCACTTTTCTATGACAAATCAGTCAACTTGTCATATATAAGCACTGTTTTTTTCCAAAATGAAAACAATGAACCCAAGATAGATTATTGCAAAGCTTTTCCCTCTGTACAACTCAATTGACAAAAGAAAAAAAAAACCTTTTAGAGAGGAAAAATAAAAATCTTAGATGTTGTGCTTGTGTGAGTGTGCACAGCCCGTGAACTAACCTAATAAACTAATAGCTGGGGTGTTTCTGTTTTCAGGAACAATCAGTTACATTTAAACACGTTACATGGGAATCAGCACTCATTCGTCACTCTTTAAAGTGCCCCCGATTAACCCCAAATAACGTTCAGATGTTGTAGTACAGGGTTTTCCCGATATTTTAGTAACAACTTAAACGCAAGCCATTGTCCCCAGAGACCTTCCACAACGTTAGTATCAGTTCAGGAGGCCATGAAATACCATGAAACACAGTAAGTGGTTATTATCGAGTGGAGAAAATATGGTGCGACGGAAACCAAGGACCGGATAGGATGAAAACTGGACAGGGAGCCTGCAAAATGTCGATAACAAGTGAAGGAACTCCACGAATTTCCGCCAGACGCTGGTTGTTTAGCATGTAGAACCAAAATCCCCTTATATCTTATTATTTATGTGTCTTGGCAATGATGTATGGTGACAAGACAGACGTGTCAAAAAAAAAAAAAAACGCCCACAAACACATACTTGGAAGTCTTCCACATGCATGTGAAAAAACGTGTTATGGTGTGATGAAACTTTTCATCCAGAAACTCTGCTCATCACCGCAAGAACATCACCGTGAGCACCAAACCTTCAGATATCTGCTGAAAAGCAAAAACATGTCAGGAAAAGCATACAAGACAATCTGAACCTTATTCAGGGTTTCTCAAAGCCACTTTTAATGGTGGCAGCTGTGTACTCCTGACTCACATTTTATCATGAGTTTGAATGTCATTGGTTAATGCTGAACAGCCACATCTCCAGTTATAAGAGTGCAACCACATTATCTCACTTTTTTCTTCAAATGATTTTTTTTCAATTGAGTTGTACAGTGTACAAGGTCACATTAGTGGATAGAGTTAAGAAATGATTTATCTTTTTTTTTTCTGTATGATCTGTATGATGGTGTTTAGATTTTTATATACAGTACTGTATGTGTGTAACAATATGTCCGAAAGAATATATACAGATATACAGTTGTGCTCATACATTGGATGGATTGTGTTTGAGTATGCTGGGTTCATGACTGGTCAACACGTACGTGAGGAGCGAAATTTGGACCCAGAGGCAGATATGACGCAGAAGTTGAAAAGTTTTTTTCTACCAGAATCCAAAGTCATGACAAGGAACAGTGTCACTTGGATTTGTTTTGCAAAATTCTAAATATATTTATTCCCTTGTCAATTTGTGTTTTAAATTTTGGGTCAATTTCATAGATGGCGCATGAGTAACTTGTATGGGAAACATTTACTTGGCACCATGCCTTAGCACAAATCACGTGATGTGTATTCTTTTTTTTCTCTTACTGTCTTGCCTTCTTGCATTCTTTATGATCATATGCAACAAAAAAATGCCTTTTACTACATATATGCCATTTCCACATTGACCTCAACATGCAAATTCACTTTTATGGCAACTCTGATATTAAATCATTTATTTTATATTGTAGTCCATATCACAATTTTTGTCGTGCTGAAATTGGATGTGTGCTGTTATCTTGGTCAATAAAAAGTTGAAGTTGCTCTCATGCCTTTTGTTTCCTTGGCCGTCACTTGGTGGCAGTATAGCAGCAGATTTGAACTCTCCGATGGGATTTTTTTTTTTCTGCATGATTGAGCCTGTCTCTGCAAGTGCGTGTGTGCGTGTGTGTTTGCGCGCGCGCGCGCACGCACGAGTGTCTTTTGAGACACATATCTGATACAATGTGCAGGGAAACCACACATGCCCACTGACACTCACTAGTATAACTCAATTTGAGTTTGAGGGAATCAACACTGGCGCATGCTATTGAGAATCAATTGGTATGCATTGTAGGGGTGTGGGTGGATGATTTCACTACATTGGCTGTATTGTCAGAGTGGATGATCCAGCTGGGGCACGAAGGAGAGCAGAGTCAGGACAAATGTGAATGCGATGCTCATGAGGTTTGAAAATGAATTAGGTGAATTGTCATAGAGGAGTGCAGCGCTCATAGCAGAGCTGTGTGTTAATCAATAGTCCCTTCCTGTTTGGCTCGTGGCAAACCGTATCATGGCCTCTAAATCAGAGCATGGAGCACTGTCGGATCAATAGTCACAGACAGTGAAGGCCAGAAGGCAGTAAATAAATGGTTATGCATGGCAGAGGGAAAGTGATTGTGAGTTTGAATGGGCAATTGAAGGGCTTATATGATTGTATGGGTCACTGACTCTCGTGTTATGGTGTGAAAATGTTCAGCTTGTCTGTTTTTCCTGTGGGTGCCCTGTGTGATTTATCTCCTCTAAAGCAAATGTAATCACATTTAATTACTGCAGGCGTTCGTGCGTGCGTGTGTGCGAAGATTATTTCAAGTGTCAAGTCGCAGCTTTGGTGCTGCGAATAATACGAAGTGCTTTGAGTTTGACTCATGTTGACTCTCACGTGACGACTCCATCCTGACGACTCCACTGCAGCACTTTGTCAAGCAGGGAACATAAAGCCTCTTGTAATGTCTCAGAGCGAGCAGGTATGCTCGTGAAGCAAAAAAATCCCCACGGATTTTCCAGATTTAGGGTGAGCCCTGATGATTGCGGTTCATTGCTTGCACCCCTGCTCCACCGTGGCTTTTTCAGCGCAACACAGCACCACATTTGCCCGTTCTAATATTCGTTGTTCCCATAGAACAGAGAGAATGTATTCTCTGAATATTGTATACTAGGTTTATGAGGTGCGGCTCCATGTGTGTCAAAGTAGCAGTTATTCAAAGGTTTAAAATGACAGTAAAACATCTATGCTAATTTCACTTTGTCTGTCAATGCCATTTCGCGTTTACATGTTAGCATTAAGCTATCCGAATGATACGGTTTGTTTGAACATTTCTGTTTACAGGTACAGCGTGTAGAATTTACTGCCATCTCGTGGTGAACTAATAGAATGCAGTAACCTGAGTTCGAGAAGTGCAAGCACGCGCACTACGGTGTCTTAGAGAGACCACACTTTGCAAGGCTACGTGGTACACTTGCAAATATCTTCAGTAGAATTGCAAGCAATATATCATGCCAAACGACTTTTCGTATTGACTCAAGAGACGAAGTAAGTGAATGGAATGTGTTACACCTGCTACTAGTTTCGCTAAATTTGTCTCCTCAGAGTATCTGTAGCAGAAAGATGGCGGCCAAACATGGCAGCTTCCAGTACGGGAAGTACGTCTTATTTCATATAAATAAGCCATTACCTCGCTTCGAGTGACATAAGAAAAATTACGTTGATGTGATAGAACATATTATTTGAATTAATTGTGGCTTTTTGAAAGAATGCACTTCGAAAAACTAACACATTTTTACACTCGGTCCCTGTTTGTCTTTTGTGTTATGATATTTATGATTTTGATAATATAACTGAAATAATATTTCATATACAAATAAGTTTGAAGATGCCTGATAATTTTTGGCCGATTAAAAACATTGTCGTCCATAGGAAATTAAAGAAATAATAAACCAAACCAGTGGTTCTTAACCTTGTTAGAGGTACCGAACCCAACCAGTTCATATGCACATTCACCGAACCCTTCATTAGTGTAAAACAGAAAAAAAGTCAATAAAATTTCAAGACATAAGTACAGTATTAGTTTTTTTTAATTTGACGACGTACTGTCACGACAGTCACACGTTACTGCAGCACTGATTGGACAAGCGATGTAATGTGATCATCTGCAGCCAGTGATGGCCAACCGGGCGTGTCATAACTAATTGACATGTTGAGTCGGGTATGTCTTAACCTCCATGGCAGAGGCTCTGTCGAACCCCTGAGACCGATTAACCGAACCCCTAGGTTTCGATCGAAACCAGGTTAAGAACCACTGAACCAAACTATGAATAAAGCATTTCTTTCTGTTTTCATTTTTTAAATCGGTAAAATCACTTTAAAAGGCAAAAACATCTGAACACCCTGCCCCCTCGGTGACATGTAGCAGCGCATCTGGTGACACTGGACTTCAACTTCTTTGAACGTCTGCTTACTCCATGTAACTTGTGGAAGATCTTGCGTTGTCACGTTCTTCTCGGAACCGCTCCGGTTGA